CGAGCTGTGACTTCACTTTTCGCTTTTCAGTGACCGGAACTGAACTCCCTATACATGGTATGGCCAGGAGTTGGCCAGGAGTTGCTATTAATTTTTGTATTGGCATGGAAACAGAGCAACACATGGCCATGACCATGATGACCATGGTACCCAGTGCCAGTGGCCTAGCTCTTGCTCGCGGCGCGCCAAGCCAAGACTAGATACATAATAATACGGAGCATCAGCAAATCGAATTTTCGATTTGATTATTCGAATGGCAAAAAGAAAATCAGAGAGAAAATTCGAATGAAAAAGAGGTTCAGCATGTAGCGCAGTCCAGTATTTTCGAATCGAGTTTTTTTTAGCTTGAGCAGTGGACCGTATGCGTGTTAAAACAAAATGGCGTCACGATTTATTGAAAGTGGTATAGTTGGTGGTACGAGTGTTCAAACCCATTTGAACTTCATACTGTTCGTCTTCTTTTTGACATGCTCTCTTTCCCTCGTCCTTAGCTTTTGTTTGTTGAGAGCTGTTTTGGCTTTCTCCTATACCTCTGGGGGATGCCAAGTGATGGTTTTGAGAGGCTGGTGATGGCTGTGAGCGAGAGTTTGCCGATCGGCGCCGTCCTCGCTATAGCGATGAAAATACTAGTTACTGCGCACCTGGCAGATATCACAACACGTCGGAGCGTCCAGGAGCAAAGGAATCTTGGGTTTTCACTGGAATCTAGTTCCTCCAGCATCGTGTAGCCCACCGTCGGTGAATGGCGGTCCAGAAAGGTCGAACCTGGTCTTCTGCAGCATCTCGCAGTCCTGCGAGGCACACTGAATACGCCTGTCATGTATTCTACAAATAAAAATCACGAAGTAGTGGACTTTACAGTGATGAGTCTCTCCTGTATGCTGCAAAAGACGCAGGAAATGTGACTGGTGTCCGTACACTGGACGCCAATATCATCCCAGTCTTCTCCTGCAGGATCTGTTTGACATTGACATACCGGTATGCAGTGGGTCGACATTGGCCTGGTTGGGCAGCTATCTGCCTGGGTGGATGTAGCAGGTTTGCATTGGCGCGTCGTCCAGTCCGACTTCTTCTTGTTACTGTGGAGTACCGGCAGGGTTTGAGAGGTTGCTCGTGCTGTGAACACATCTCTACTGCCTGTCTCGTCCTGGAAGTGCCGTCTCGCCGCTTCCTTGCTCTACAGTCACGCCGTTATTTCGCTTTGTTCCGTGGTGCAGCTCAAAACCTGCCCAAACAACTGTGAGCTCGCAACATGGTATGGACAAATTGCACCACTCATGCTGGTTAACTAAAACCGGGATAGTCGAGTAAGCGAGTTCACTCCCTGGGCCATGGCAAGATCTGTTCAGCGCGGGCTATTCCAACCTCCAAGTGCATAGTCACCGATCGATCCATGCGATGGTGGTTGACCTACAAAGAGCCAAGGTCTACGAATACTACTATTGGATGCTGTCTACATGCAGTCATCAAAATCAAAGTACCTTAGTATGCTCCAGAATAGGGCATGTGCATCTATACTTCTATAGCATGACACAACAGGGGTTCTGGCGGCACCTGTCAAACAAGCAGTAGCGACTAGTGCCAGCTACCTATTGGGGGCTAGCCGCTACAGTCTGTCACTGGAGATAATTATTATGTTCACTGTTTAGACTGAGCACAATCAATGATGCCCAATCAATCTGCCCAATGTGTGTTCTGTTCCACATAATTATAACGCCCCATCGCATCAACCCTACTACACGCACATGTCGTCACTCTAGCACGACTTGTGTTATTATTGTTTATTTTGATTCACACGATAAATAGAGCACAATAAACGTTAACTTGACCGCAGGTTAAAGGCTACTGCAGATAGAGGAACACATCGAGTTACAGGTACCGGCATCAATACAGTATCAGAGATAAACAAACAAAAATGAGAGGTACGCAGAAAAAACTCTCGTAAGCCCAAGGGGAAGTGGTTGATGAGGGATGAATGCACTCTCCACGCTCATCTACACTGTTCGTGGAAATGCACACATACATACAATAATATACAACATAGCAATAGCATGCACAGAACCGAACAATTTCATGTTCACACATGCAAGCACAGACCTGAACATTAGTACCAAAAGCCGATACAGACAATATCCCCATACACACAGACGCACACACACACACACACACACACACACACACACACACACACAATGTCCCATGTATGCGCTCGTGGCGAGAACATCACGCAAATCTACAAATGCACTGGATGTGAACCCACAGATTTTCTCTTATAGCAACGATAGCGGATCTGATTCTGAATGAAACACACACACAATACAATCATTGAATGCCCATCCGCAGATGATGGCAGGTCCTGAACGAACAGGCAGTGTTCCAGTGATGGGGAACAGAACTTCGAGTGGCGAGTGAGGTATACCGTGACACACACACGTGCGTGCGCGGGCACAGGCTAAAGTATTCAGAAATATAATCAACATCGTAGTATTCATTGGTTGGGGAATGGAAAATAGAACATTGCTGTAGGTTATTGTTGTAAGGACACTGGGAGCACAACAGAAAGGTAAGCAACTTGCTTTGAAGCAAAGAAAGTTATTATTCCACGGATCTCAGAAGGAAGGAACGTTCCAGAATGCTGCTCTGGCAACAGGCGGCCTGCATGTGCGCGGCCCCTGCAGTCGGTCCAGCTGCCGGCCTTGCAGTGCTGAAAAGAATGTGCAGTACAGCATGTCACATAGTATCGCAGCCTGGACAAATAGGCGCTGGGAAGTCCTAGTTATGTGCTCACCTACACCACGATGCACCAATCTTCTGAGCTACTTTGGCAACAACTTTGTCCACTTGAGACTCCCATGGGTGAGCCAGTTGTTGAGGGCTGCACCAAGGTGGACGGCAATGACCGCTGATGGCAAGGCAATCCACGACACACAGTCACTAGGGCATCGTCAACATGGCGCTGAGGCTGGATCGATAAAATCAACCCGGCTTTAGGCTGCCGCGGGGTTGACAACGAGGCCGCTGTCTCGAAGCTAGTCAGTCAGCCAGGTCACCGCCATTGACGAACCAGTCGCCACTGCCAGCAGTGGCGGTAGGTTGTGACAAGTGTGGTGCAATATTGTCAGCAAATTCAGTACTCAGGATAAGATGAGTGACAAAGGGAACGTTGTGTTTGATAATATTGAAGTGAACAGGGATGATCACAAACCCTGCGCGTACTCCACCGTGAGTTACAAGAAAATTCCGGACTGGACGACGAGCAAACACCAACCTGCTACATCCAACCAGGCAGATACTATTACGATAGCTGCCAAACCAGGTCAATGCCGACCTACTGCATAATGTCAATGTCAAACAGATCCTGCAGGAGAAGACTGGGATGATATTGGCGTCCAGTGTACGGACACCAGTCACATTTCCTGCGTCTTTTGCAGCATACAGGATAGACTCATCACTGTAAAGTCCACTACTTCGTGATTTTTATTTGTAGAATACATGACAGGCGTATTCAGTGTGCCTCGCAGGACTGCGAGATGCTGCAGAAGACCAGGTTCGACCTTTCTGGACCGCCATTCACCGACGGTGGGCTACACGATGCTGGAGGAACTAGATTCCAGTGAAAACCCAAGATTCCTTTGCTCCTGGACGCTCCGACGTGTTGTGATATCTGCCAGGTGCGCAGTAACTAGTATTTTCATCGCTATAGCGAGGACGACGCCGATCGGCAAACTCTCGCTCACAGCCATCACCAGCCTCTCAAAACCATCACTTGGCATCCCCCAGAGGTATAGGAGAAAGCCAAAACAGCTCTCAACAAACAAAAGCTAAGGACGATGGAAAGAGAGCATGTCAAAGAGAAGACGAACAGTATGAAGTTCAAATGGTTTTGAACACTCGTACCACCAACTATACCACTTTCAATAAATCGTGACGCCATTTTGTTTTAACATGAATATCGCGGGTTGAGGACTGGGATTTTGAGATGTGCAATGAACGGAGTTGCTGTTGTTTCTCATTGCCTTTGGGGATGACGCGAAGCGGCGGATGCTTCATCCGATTCAGGCTATTGGCGATAGGATCTCTCTTGGAGACCCCTTGAAAAGGCGGATCTCGGCCGAGCTCCTCCGCTATCCCTTGCATATCAGGAGACCCGCGGACGAATAGGTGAGGGTGGGCCCTACACTGCCTCAGCAGAATGAGATCCATGGTAAGGTCGACCCTCAAATATTTGGCACACTTTGAGTTGCCCTCTCCCTGCGGGGAACTCACCATAGACGCAGATGCCGAGACAACGCCAGCACTCAGCAGGGCTACTGCAGTACTGGGAGCAGGAGGCATACCGGGGCTGGTAGTTGGTGACAAAGCCATGATACTTGAAATGAAACAAAATGCACACTTGATAAAACTTTTCACAGTTCGAGAGAGAGGAAAGCGTCAAGATTGACAAGAAGTCCGGACTAGTACTTGAGTAAGAACTAGTAGCTAGATGCGCAAGAATGAGTACTCGTAGTGCGCCGTGTACTAGAGCACGCGCGGAGCATTCGAAAAGTATTCGAAAAGCTTTTCTGTTTGCGGGCATTTTTCAGTCGAACAAAGCCCTAGTTTCGACTGATTGAGTGCTTTTCGTGACGATTCTCGAATTTAATTCGAATATTCAATTTGCTGATGCTCCGTACGTATACGCGAATACTGTACTAAATGTCTTTTTTTCGGAGAAGCACTCAGTTCGAACTTCGAATGACGTTGTCGTAAGTAGTCATGGCAGTGTTCCCGGCTGAGTAACAAATGTTCCTATCGTCCAACGAAGTTACTATCGTCCAACGAAGTGTTCCAGTGACCAGGTGACCATGGTGACGCTAGCAGCTAGCGCTGTAGCGGTGACTATGTTGTTATTGGAATTGTTAGTTCTAACCAGTAACAAGTTCCATGTGTGGAGAAGACTAAGTCTGATTTCTCCACTGCTCTAAGCAGCGTCTGCGCTGCTATGTTCTGCTCAGCTTGGAAGTGGACCAACAACTACGCAATGCCCATGGGTAAGAATTCAAACCATGGCAATAACACCCTGTAACCATGGTGATAGCACCCTGTAACCATGGTGATAACACAATCTGCACGCTCATCCTGTAATCATGGTATGTGGAGTGGTTGCGCACAAAGGAAATCCGTAAGATTTCGACCGTCCGGGTTCAAGTAACGGAAGTTGCTACGAAGATCCGTCCAAACGCGACCGAAACAGACCAGATCTATGAAAATATTTTTCGTAACGCGGAGTACTAAAATGCTGATACTTTACAACTCCCTGTCTTGACCCTCCTCACCCGCGAGTGCGCCGCGTCGACCCACTACGATAAAGTTCACATTGTGTGCGCAACCTCACGGTTTACGAATATTCGTTAGCTTCTTTCCTTAAAAATACTCGTTACTGCGCTACAGATTTTCGTTGTGCACAACCTCTCTAATAGCACAGTCTGGGTAACCATGGTAATAGCACGGTCTGCACACTCACCCTGTAACCATGGGGATAACACAGTCTGCTCACTCGCGCTGACAGTATGATAATAGAGGGGTTGCGCACAACTAGAATCCAAAAGGTCTAGGCCATCCAGGTTCGAGTAACGGAAGTTCAGCCCTCACCAACGCTGTACAAAACGTCACTGGCCCATTTCTCAACGGTCGCGCTAGTCGATCAATCAGCGTACAGCTAACGTACCAAAATTCTCAAACTTACCGCAATTCCTTGGTTCATACGGTGCAGTTTCCAACGATTTTTTATGGACTAACGTCTTCTTTCGATAGATACCAACAGATCGTCCGCTTCGAATTTTTCGATTTGATTGCCGTTTGGCCGAAAATTACCTCCGAAACCGGCCTCCACTCGTTTCACTTCAAGGCTTTCCAGGTGGACGGCATCGCAATTCGGAAGCGGAGAAAGGATAGCCAGTGAAAAAGAAAAACAACGACGTATTGGTTGTCAAAATCGACCAAGAAATGAATTCAATAGACCCGTTTCCGTGCTGCGCCCTCGCGGCCCGCGCGAGTGCGAAAGGGATCAAAGGGATTCTTTCTCGACAAAACAAACAACAACTACGCGCAGTGCATGCAGGTGCTTTTTGCAGTGCAGTACACTGTTATCACTGCACTGGCTGTACATACAGTGTACCTTAGTAATATCCTGTTCTTTTCCAAGACACGATTGTCGCTAGTGGGAGAACTCAGCCACCTGAAGCTTTCATAAAGGAAGAAGTAGTAGGTGAATGAGTTCGCCAGAAAATGGAACGACAAGAAAATAGATACTGTTGCTTTCGGGCGCTCATGAGACGACGGTAAGATACATGTAGGACTGAAACGATCGTAAGTCTGTCTCGACGCAAAAGAAACTCTTCTAGGAGAAGCTCGATGCGCTGTAGAGTTTGCGGTGTTCTGCTGGAAGAAGACAAGAGAACTAAACTCAGACTACAGCGTGGAGCTGAAGCACGAGCGAAGCAAAAAGCTGAGCGTGTTCGAAGAAATGGGGAAACACAGGAAAATGAGTGGGCGACATGATCTTTAGCTCGAAGCTCGCGCTAAGACACGCAGGGGGAGGGGGGGGGGCACGTGCGCCTACGGGTAGCGCCGCCAGCCACCATGTTTTCAAAATGGAGGTCGACGCTTTTGAAATCCGTGTAGACGATGGTGAGGGCTGAAGTTGCTACGAAGGTTCGTCCAATGGCGATGGAACGGAGCAGATCTACGAAAAAATAGTTGCATGTGCTAGTCACATAGCAATGAAGAAAGTTTTTGGGTTTGACCGTATGATGTCTACTGAAATTGTTCTCCGCAAATATCATCTCTATTCTTTTGAACAGCGCACAAATCTTAAACTCTATGTTTTCGTGTACCGCTGCTTGACCCCACATCTTGCTAGTCCCCTTCTCCAATCCTTGTTCCAGCTTAGGGCTGCTGTGCCTGGACACCAGGCTCGCACGCGCGGCCAGGCACAGCGCGCATTAGTTCTTCCGCCTGTTTCTACGCAATATGGCATGCGTTCTATTTCTTTCCTGGCGGCAGACAGATGGAATGCTCTTCCCACTGACTGCCGTCAGGCCCCGTCTCTTACTCTGTATGTAAACATGGTAAAAATTCACCTAGGGTTCCCAGTAAAAAGGCAACGCCTGTTGGGACTCCCCTAGTAAAATAATAAAATCTACTACTACTACTACTACTACTAGTAAAATTTTACAGCTCCCTGTCTTGACCTTTGTCGTACCGGAATGCGTACTACGAAAAACTTCACACGTTTACGAATATTCGTTACTCATTTTCTGTAAAATGGCGGGGTAATAAAAATAATTTAAAATTTCACAGTTTGCGTCAGACTTGGCTAGAGGCTGAGTTCTCCGCATCCATAGGAACGCCACCGCCCTTCAAGGGTCAAGGCGCAGATGCAGCTCCTAAAACGGTGATATAGTGATGATTCACTGATGAACAATATCAAATGCGCACTCGTATCACAAGCATGACGTGTGCAGAACTATGTGAACTGGGTGACGGTTTGCACGTAATCTCAGGGTCGCTCGTTGACAATTTTTGTTGGTTTTGTTGTATTTTTCCATTCTTGTTTGGTATACAGGTGTGGCAGTTGCCTCTGGACGTGAGCTTGGGGCTGGCGGGTAGAGCTGTGTTTCCGTCTTTCCGATACTTCTCTTGGTCAGTTATTTCCTATATCTGTGAGTGCGTATGCGTATGTGTGTGTGTGTGTGTGTGTGTGTGTGTGTGTGTGTGTGTGTGTGTGTGTGTGTGTGTGTGTGTGTGCGTGTGTGTGTGTTCGAATCCCGATTGTGGCCACACGTGTCTCTCTTCTCTTTCTCAGACTCCTCCTGACTTTTCTTTCGTTCTCCTGGGTGGTTACCAACAGCCAGTGTATACCGGAGTACATGCATGTATGTGGTGTGATGTGTGTGCGGGAAAAAAATGAAAAACAGCAAAGAGAAGGGATTCATTGGCCAGAAAAAGCCACTTCATAGCTGTGTGGTGTAGACCAGGCTAAATAGTGGCGGTCAATTCTTCAGCCTTGCAAGCTGTTGAATGGTGCAATCCCAGCACAAGTTGCTATGGCGTCTGTGGTAGCATCGCTATCATGGCCTCCGGAGATGGGCGTCAAATCGTCAATGGTGCGTGTGTGTGTGTGTGTGTGTGTGTGTGTGTGCGCGCGTGTGTGTGTGTGTGTGTTTCAAGGTACCGGTCCATCTAGTGTCTGCTTCTATCAAAGCAGCATGCTGTCTATACTGGTTACCCAAGCAAGTGTAGGGTGTGCATAGGTCTTGTCCGTTTTATGCAGATGTACTCCGTGTTCTGTAGACCAGGTGTGCATTGGTGGTCGATTCACATGGCTTCGCAGGTTGTGTGGATTGGACAGTCATCTGGTGTAGACCAGGTGTGCATTGGTGGTCGATTCACATGGCTTCGCAGGTTGTGTGGATTGGACAGTCATCTGGTGTAGACCAGGTGTGCATTGGTGGTTGATTCACATGGCTTCGCAGGTTTTGTGGATTGGATAGTTATCTGGTGCAAGTCCTGATCTGTCTCATTCAGATCTTGTCCGCTATCGTTGCTATAAGAAAAAATCTAAGGGTGCACATCCAGTGCATTTTCATATGTGCATGCTTCTCTTGCGACGGACGATACATGGTACATGGTGTATGGTGTGTGTGTGTGTGTGTTTGTCTTCCGTGACGCTGTCGACGCTATTGTCCAGTCCCACATGGAGCCTGTGGCGAAGCCCCTCATCTGTGGTACTTGTGCACGCAGTTTTCGTCGGCCACAGGATAGTGTGAGGCACAAATGTAACGCTGTTCGCGCAGCCCGCGTGCGCTGAGTCTGGCGCTCCCCGCCATGTGTACGACACGTCTCCTGGTCTGCCCCGTATGGGGCCACATAGCCAGTCATGACAGTAGAAGAAGGAAGGAGGGAAGGTGTGTGCGTGTGTGTGTGCGTACGTGTTGTACGTACGGGCCTGCAGTCATGACATGACAGACTTGCTGTCGTCACACATGACCGATCACATGACTGATGTCGTTAGCAACCAACAACTTTAGGGCATGTAGCTGTGGGTGGCGGGCATCGTCACCCAACCATAGAAAGAGAGCGCACGAGCGCGCGCGCGAGAGAGAGAGAGAGTGCGTGTGTGTGAGGGGGGGGGGGGGGGCGGGGGTGTGCGCTCGCGTCCTGAGCTGGATATCTTGTTCTTGAAAGTATGCAATTTTCGTCACTTTGTTGTGTCAGGTGCGCCCAATGCATCAATGTGGCTTCAAATGCTCAGCTTTGTGTTGTGTTATCAGGGACGTGTAGCAACACGAATGCAAATCTTGTTTGGAGACAAAAAAGGTCTTAGAGGTTTAGAAGCGAGAGCTGCACTTTTGTCGATTAAACCCTTTCTGTGCCATACATTGAAATTTATGCACAGTACAGTGAAATCTCGTTAGGAAGAACACTCGGGAGAATGAAGTTGAAGATGCCACTGAAACTGTACTTATGGTTGATAAATATGGTGGTAAAGACACACCTGGCAATGTGGCGGTAAACACACGCCTGCCCACACACGCTCTCCATGCTGCAAAGTTCTGGCACAGAGCTCTCCTTCTCACCACCACCACCATCAGTTCGCGCTTGGCGCCTAGTCGATGCATGGTTGGCGGTATTCGACATAGCAGGCTGGTACATCAAGTAGCGCATGGCACATAGAAGATGACACAGCAGCGTCATAGCTTGATTGCGACGTACCTTTCGTCCCCGCTGGACTCATCAGGCAATCTTCTTCTTGGATGTCTTCATACGGAGCTTGACTCACAGGGTTGTGTAGGAGGGGGGGGGGGGGGGGGGGGGCTGTTGTTGCAGAGACTTGGCAAAACTCCATACTAGTGTTGGCTAGTGTTGCCAAGACTCCACTTGGTGACGGGGGGAGAAAGGATTCTGTTGCGGAGACTTCACCTCACTCCACAGGCAAGGGGCAGGGGGAGATTAATTAACAACTTGATTTGTGCTTCCTTCGGATCGAATCTCACACAACTATAGCTCCTTGTTGTTGTTGTTGTTCTCCTTCTCTCTCCCTCTGTCTGTCTTAGTTTGTCTTTCATTTTCTCTCTGTCCCTTTGTCTCCGTATCTCTGCCCTGTAGATCAAACAGAGTTCCTGTCTGTCAGCTATATGCCCAGCGGTCATCCATAGCTCTGCAGTCTGCATGCAGGTGAGTTGAAGCTCGTCGTTAAGCGTGAGAGTCTACTGACGTTTGACCGAGCACATTGTCTGGAGGACATACGTGCCACAGAAGGCAAGTTGGGAGACAACTATGAGTTCTAGTTTCTTGTGCAAACATCACGTCTAATCGGGTTCAGTGAGCTCTTCAAGGCCATTGCAAAGGCATTAAACATGGCTGGTGAAAGGGGTGCGATTCATCAAGACGGTGATTCCTAGGGACGAACAATTGCAGCATTTGTACATCTACGAGCTGCACTTTCTCACCGGCGGACTCAACTGCTCGCAGTGCTTCCACCATGGCTGCAGCCGCATGACGCAAATCGCACCCGATATCATCTCGATGCGACCACTGGCCACAGTCATCAGCTAAGACACTCCCTACAGCATCAAGCAGCCTATTCTCCGCTGTTAGTTGTATCGTGCCACGCAGCAATGGAACTCTTTTTTTCCTTTTTTTTGCAATGATCACAGCTCACAGGCAAACCTCTGCCGCCATCCTTACCAGAGACCGTCTCAATTCACAAACAATTTCAGAACTTTGAACACCACATGAACGAACACCTTCTCCTATTGGAGACGGGCCATGTACATACTACTTGTCGATCCACCCGCATTCTGGCGCGCCGTCAAAGTTTTGACATTTCACGGTTCAGTTATTCCTCCCAACTCCATCTCTATGTGCGTATATGATCGATAGAGACAGCCCTTACTTCTACGCATGGACTTTCTTACTTTCGTACTCAACTGTTCTAATAAGTTGTGTTGGCTTTGGTGTGTGTAATACGGCTGCGGATCTGAGACCTGTGGTTTTGGGAGCTCATTATGCCTATCACTATTAATTTTAACCCACTCTTGTTCGTTTACGGAAGTCTTGAGTGCACCTATAGAGGTTTTTCGAATGACGTCACACGCCCCCACGCGGCGCAGCTGCTGGCGTGTTGAGTGGCAAAAGATGAGATCGAGTGAGATCGAGATTGGCCGCCAAATACAATTTATTTATTTTGTTGACGGCTTGTCGTCTTTCTTTGCTATCCACTCAGTCCACACTGGCCATTTTCGCTTTACGCTTGATCTTCAGGTTTATCTTTAGCGCTTTGTTTGTGTAACCGACATTGATCAAGGTCGAAATGGGGAAGAGCTGCTCGGCTGTTGGCTGTACGAGACGATTCAAAAAGGGCGACAAAGGTTGGACAAGATTGCCCTCTGAAGAAAGTGAACCTGAGCGCAGGGAAAAGTGGATAACTGCTCTGCGAAGGGAGAACTGGACACCAGGAAAGCACAGCTGGTTATGTGGAGCGCATTTTATCGGCGGGGCGAAGAGTGATGAGCCTTTGTCACCAGACTATGTGCCACGTGTGTTTACGTTTGTACGGTCCCCAGTCAAGAGGAAAATGCAGGAGGAGTTGGAGGCTTACCACCGGCGTGCAAAGCGGACTCGTTTGTTTGCTGATCAAATCGCTACAAAGGCTGTGGAATCGACTGCAGCAACTCCTACTCCTGATCCTGCTGAATCCGCGTCCACTTCAAAATCTTGCCAAACAGATCTCACCATGGGCAAGCTTCACGATTTGGAGAGTGAAAAGGAGCAGTTGAAGGCATCAGTAGCGAAACTGCAGGCCCGAGTGACGGAGTTGGAGCTGGAGAACGCCACCTTGAAGCTGAAGCAGCCGTCTTATGGGTACACTGAAGATAATTTCAAAAATGACCCTGCCAAAGTCCATTACTACACTGGCCTGCCTGATGTGAAAATCCTGTCAACTGTCTTCTCTTATGTGTCAAAGCCTCTCTCTGCCCATGGTCATAGCAAGTTGTCCCTCTTCCAACAATTCATCCTCGTGCTCATGAAACTTAGACTGAACCTCGCGCATCAGGACTTGGCTTACCGCTTTGGCATCAGTCCGGCCACTGTCACAAAGATATTTGAGAAGTGGATTCAAGTGATGTTCGTCCGGCTACGCCCACTTATCCGCTGGCCAAACCATGGTGACCTGGAGAAGACCATGCCAAGGAGCTTCCGCGGACAGTTCGGTCGCTGCGTCTGCATAATCGACTGTTTTGAGGTATTTATGGAGAGGCCACGTAATCTTATGGCTAGAGCTCTCACCTTTTCACATTACAAATCCCACAACACTGTCAAGTTTTTGGTTGCTGTCACACCCCAAGGCTCCATATCCTTCATCTCCAAGGCTTGGGGCGGACGAACACCTGACAAGCATTTGACGGAGAACTGTGGCCTATTGAAGCTCCTCAATCCGGGAGATCAAGTCATGGCGGATCGTGGATTTACTATCGAAGACAGCGTTGGCATGTACTGTGCCAAACTAGTCATCCCTTCCTTCACCAGGGGGAAGAAGCAGCTGAGAAGGCAGGAGCTCGAGCAGTCACGCCAAATCGCGAATGTGCGTATCCACGTTGAGAGGGTGATCGGCCTGCTTCGGCAGAAGTATACCATCTTGCAGTCAACCCTACCTATCACCCTATTGAAGCATGATACGGATGAGAAGGAGTCCATGATTGATCGTATTGTTAGTGTGTGCTGTGCTTTGTGCAATTGCTGCAAATCTGTTGTGCCGCTCAACTGAGCACTGTGATAGTAGTTTGTAGATGATTGTGATTTGCTGCAACGGGTTTATGCATTGTGGTACTCTGCTCATTATTCACGTTGCCGTTATTATCTTGGTCATGAAACTCATCATGCCACCATGGTCGTGCAATGTCAGCTCTGCTTGCCATATCAACGAGTGTCAGTTATTTTGCCTATGTCTGGTGGCACCCTGTTTCAATGTCCATTGGATGCCTGAACTGGCCGGCTATGCGATGAACTGTGAATGTATTGTTTAATTTTTTTAATAGCATCAAATGGAAAATTGCTGTACACCATGATTAATGAAACTGTCTTTGTGTTCGGCAATGTGAACTTCAATATTTGCATATAAACTAACACTATCGGCACCCAGACAAGTTGAACTTGTTCGGTTGTGGATGAGCTTTGGGTGTAAATCCACTTCAATGCTGGGGTTCCATTCCCTTTCCCAGGAGTCAAACTCAGCCAAATTGGGAGTTTAGTGTATCTCTCTTGTTGCCGCAATTGCCTTTCACAGGCACAACAAAGTCTGAGTGGTGGTCCAATGGCTTTCACTATGGAGAGGATCTTGGTTTAAAAGAAGACACTGGTTCACACAATAATTATACAGAATGTGATTGATGAGGTACAACAGTGTAATCGCTACTGACATACGATTTGAATACCTCAAAATTAGAAAACTAGTTTATGCCATACTCCATACACAAGATATCCAGCGACGTCATGCGTATACAATGTAACTGTACAAGTTGCAGGATGACGGCATCGTCAGGGGTAGACTTGAGCAACGTACATACCATACGGCAGACTGTGAAATGAAGAACAGGCATGACCAGTGAATGCTGCACAATACCTCAGTATCAGTATTCCTGAAAGGTAGGACCTGTTAATAATTACCACTCGAGAGAAGACTGTAAACTCATCTTGTTATCAGCAAACTGAAATACATTACAAATAAATTATAAAAGAAGAAAGGAAAAGGACATATGGAAACGAGTTAAGAGTAACTCTCCACCACTGTATGTCCTTTTCCTTTCTACTTTGATTATTTGCTCAGTACCCGAGTTTCAAAATACATTATAGCAAAGGAAAAGGAGCGAGAACACGGCAAGCTACTTGCATGGGAGAAAAGGCTAACTCACTCCACGAACTACAAAACAAATCTCATCCTTTCACACGCAGTGAAGGAGCTTACAAAAGTGAAAGGCAAGTGCATATGGCTGCACACACAGCCTACGCTAGCTGCAGCGCTGGTACACCGGAACTATTATCATAAAGAGCCAGCCAGCATGAATCAAAGCAATCGACTGTCGCGACACCAGTGCAGACAAAGTGATGCGTACACAATACAGACAAGGGGACAAGTCCAGCCAGATACAGTTACTTGAGCAGAGAGAAGCACCAACACAATCTTCAGGATGCATGCACATAATTCTAACAGGACCACTCCTCAAGCTTTCGACTTCTTCTGGCGAGCTGCCTTGCGGCATTCAGGACAATGCCAGCTCTTACCGGGCTTCTTCTTGAGGCCTAGGCACTTCACATGGAAGAAGCGGCGAGTGCAATCAGTATTAGCACACTTCGCTACATCACCGGCCTCTTTCCCGTCACAGTAACAACCACCTGGCGATGACAATGTAGTCTGTGGCAGACCCACTGTGGCTGATGCGCCCGCTGCTGCTGGTGGTCCGTCAGGTAAGCTATCAAAGTTCTTTGAATACCATTTAGCGGCTAGTTCCGGTAGAACTCCAAGTTTGTAGAAATCTACAACTGCCTCCAAGGCTTTAGCCATAAACGGCGCATCAGGAAGTATGCGCTCCACGTGCAGCTCTTCCTTGTTCCAGACTATGAAGTCACAGTGTCTGGCAGCGCAGACCTTCAGCTGGAGCTGGACCTGATAGTAGTAGGCATGGTCGTGCTTTAGGCGAAGCTGTGGCAGCAACCCGGAGGAAGACGGGTCCTTCTCCAAGCAGAATTTGCTCTCGTCAGCAGCATCAGCGAATGCCTTGTCCCGGCATGAATAGGGACACTTGATCTCAAGCACACCGGCCCCACAGCATGCACAACTGACAAAGCCATCTGGGCTTGCCCCAAGATACGGGAAGTCAGGAGACAGGCAAAGACCGCACTCAGTCACAGACAGCTCCTTGGGAACAGCCCCCTGCTTCCTTACATACAGCTCACGCGCACTGGCCTCATGCTCACAGCCCCATTTAGTGGCTGAAGTTGTGAACGCTTGCGCCTCCGGATAACAAATGGCTTTGATGAGCGACACGGATGGATTGCTGGGATTGGTGCGCGTAGCAGCTTTGAAGCGGGATGCTGTTACCCTGCCAGCACGGTAGCGAAACCACTGCTTGGAGGTAGCCTGGTCCTTTGTGAGCCTCTCCACAGCCTTTGCCTCCTCCGCAGTCACAGTTATTGCGCTGAACACTTTTTCACAGTGCTGCAGCACATCGGCAAAGTTGGCTGTCAACAGTGCGTCATTGTAGAGCTCGTCTACCAGGTATGGTGGGCAGCCGTCCTGATCCTTTGGAGCGTACCGGTCAGAGAAGGCAGGCATACTGCTCAGCACCGCACAAGAGCCGGCGGAATCCAGAGAGGCACATAGGGCATCAACTTCCTCAGCGGTGGGATTGTCAAACGGAGCAGGCTTGCTCTTGGCGGAACTGCTGGTAGCTCTTGGTTGTTTATTCTTATCCTTCCTTGGGTCGGGCACAGCAAGATCAATGTCAATGACCCTAGCATACTCCACAGTTTTCATGCTTGGGGCAATCCACTGACAAGGCAGGGAGGTACATGCAGGCTCTACTGCCATGGACGTACGGACAGACAAGCTCATGAGCAAAGCTGCGATGTGCGAGCACGCTTCGCCCAGGCCAGCCATGCAATTACAATGCGCACAAATCACGATTCCGTCCTTCTCCGCGGCTACCCAAGGCCTCAGATTATCTGCAGACACAGTCTGCGAATGCCTGACCGAAGCTGTCACGAAAAATTTCGTGCTGTCAGCATTTGCAGGAAACGACAGGACGTCTCCAACCCAGCCAGATTTTACGAAATTATAAGCATCCAGACTTTTGTAGGCTTTCAAGGACTCTTTGGTGTACGGACTAGGAGTATTTACAAGATAGTTATAAACATCAGGCCACTCAATACTCGGGAAAAACTCCACGGCAGAATTTTTGGAGAGGACGTACGGATCGGACACATTTGAAACAATTCGGTCAAGCTTCTCGCGATACCGCTTCTTGGCTACTTCGTCCAGCTCACCGTAGATTTTTCCAAATTCTCTAGGCTCCATTTCAGCAGTCATAACAAGCAGGTACCCTCTCAAGAACGCACAAACAAGCACGAATCTGATCGTCAAATCAGCAAAGAAATACTGGAATAGTGCAAACTCAAACCAAAAAGTGCAGCTGTCACCAGGTCACGGTCTTTTTGCCACTCAAGGTCACCTGAGCCCACGCGGGACCGGCACGTGACCACTTTTCGAAAAACCTCTATACAGTCTGTATCGGCTATAGAGTGACCGGATATAAGAATATATCGGCTACAGTGATATTGGTACGAAATATCAAAAGCAAAACGTATTTTATCCAGTACAAATATCACTATAACCAATATTATCGGATGTAATGATATATCGGATATTATGATGGCAACATAGAATCAAAACATGCATAACACACTACATTATAATCGGCTATAGTGATAACTTTAAAATACATGTTGCAATAATATCAAAGGCCCTATTTTTTTTACTTTCTTCACGTTGCTTATTTTGATAGTGACACATGTACATGTACATAACAGAATTTTTTATGGAAATGCGGGCACTGTCAACTATGCAGCATGCTCATTTGTCAAAACGCCATGCTGGAAGTATTCCCTTGCCTTTCATGTGTCGCTCGAAAAAAATCGATCATATCGCATATAGTGATGCATCGGTTATAGTGATAAAATCACGGAAATCAAAAGGGTACGCTATAGCCGATACAGACTGTACTTTATTTTACTACTGTCGTGGACAGGGAACTCCAGTCAAACGATCGGGGCCGGCACCCTCAGTGTGTAGAGAGCGTTGCAAACTTGCATGCAGTGCACAATCATGTTGACCGATGTGACCAGCGTGCTGCAGCGCATAAGGCATGTACATTGTATGTGTGTACAGCTTACCCACGGCTGCATGGCCAGCGCCCTGGGGCCGCTAGACGTGCGACCGGATTTCCATGTCCACTACAGTGGTAGTGTTCTTGGTTTGGTATCTCCATGTACACATAGGCCTCTTCAACAGCTGTTCGTGAGTTATATATTTATAACCAGCTGTTTGTGAGTTATATATTTATAACCAGCTGTTTGTGAGTTATATATTTATAACCAGAACTGATCACTTACATGTATGTATGACTGACATCATGCGCTTATGGGTTTGTGTGTGTGTGTGAGGGGGGGGGGGGGGGGGTGGTGCGTGTGTGTGTCAGCTGATTTGGATTTGGAACTGCTACCATAGGACTCTTCTACCTGAAAATACGGTTGGTGGATGGTCGTGGTCCAGATATTCAATGTCCGGACGATCAACCTCCGGATAACTGATGCATAGATTATTGATAGTCTGGATAATGGATATGTCCAAGATCAATTCTGAGGATAGTGAATTTGTCCGGATTGTGGACACTCTGCTGAATCGTGTATAACGTTAGCTCATGTCGTCATGCAGTCATGCTCTAAGCCATGCCTTGCCCTACCATTTTCATGTACAGTAGAACCTGTGACTAACCACCACTCCTTGGGGCCAGGTTGTTTGATCTGAAAATAAGAATGGCATTGCGCAAGTCCTGGGGAATTGTATTCGCTGCATTTTGACATACTGATTGCCATTGAAATCCGATCATGTGAGTCAAGTCGCGTCTGTCCGCTGCTCCAGTTCTAGAATATCACATCATGTGCACAGCGCCCATAGCCTGCATAGGCCTACAGTAGGGCTCCCCCGCGCCAGGCTTGGTATCAACTCTCTTGATCGGATTTTATTGATCAGTGATCATGCATGGTGATCACCATTATAAGAAATCAGTGATGTCATGGTTTTCCGCGATGATGTAATGATTTTCCGGGACAATTATTTTCCTGTTTCCTCATTACTCATTCAAAGTGTAAAAGAAGAGCTGCATATCGAAATGCAAAGTTACGGTTAGTTGGATAAGAGCGACGATGGATTGAGAGGAACGATGATAGAAAGAAAGCAGTTACTGTGGCTAGGTGCAGCGCTGCGACCCACTAGTAGAGCGGCAGCTAACTGGTCAATTCTTTCCCGTAGCCAACCTTGAGGTTCATTGTGCGGGCCGCAAAACGTTGAAGATAGCGGAATCATTTGAGCAAGCGGTACGACAGTGTCATTCAAACGAATAGATTTGCGATCACCGCAGTCACCTACGCTAAATCTCTTTCCGTTCTTCTCTGCACAGTCCAGTTACCTGTGTCCAACGATGGCGGCGTTGAAGCGTGTGCAAAGGGAGCTGCAGGAATTGTGTAAGAACGCACCGGACGACTGCTCCGCGGGCCCGGATGGCGACAACATGATGCATTGGCAGGCGACGATCGCAGGCCCTGATGACACTCCGTACGAAGACGGATTATTCTACGTGAGCATCGACTTTTCAGACGACTACCCGTTCCAGCCGCCCAAAGTGTTATTCACCACAAAGATCTATCATCCGAACATCAAGAGCAATGGATCCATTTGCCTGGACATCGTGGACCCAGCAAAGAATAAATGGAATCCAGCTCTAAAGGTTGGCAACATCCTTGCTGCCATCCAAGACTTACTGCGTCATCCCGAACCAGACGACAATCCTCTAGAGCCAGACATTGCCCTCATCTACACGTCAAACCGTAAGGGATTTGAGAAAACTGCCAAGCAGTGGACGAAGAGGTACGCGTGAGATTCTTGGCTGTAGGCCAATGATTGCCAGTCATGTCCGTTTTAATCACTGATGTACATGTAGTCACCAAGGATACAAGTTCCATGGATGCATGACCGAGGTCATGACAGTATTTGACTTGATACTCCTGAATGGGAACAGACCTGAGCGTGATACTATTATGATACATGTAGGTTAAACATGGATGCAGCTAATGGGGTCGTTCTCGGCACTTGTGCCAGTGGTTGTGAGACTTATCCACTCACCCCCACCGTTAGGCGCTGCATCTGCCGCTAGGGTTTACCGGGTGTTAGCGGCTGTCGTGAGTTCCCTTCGGGAACAGACACGATAATTTACTTTATTTTGTAGGTTAAAATGTTATGCATGGCATGTATTGCAAGCTGGTGTCTGGTTTCCATTTTTGCCTACTGGGATCAGTGTGTTCGATTCAGGGCTCGGTTTGTGTGTGTATGTGTGTGTGTGTGTGTGTATGTGTGTGTGTGTGTGTGTGTCCCATATGGTGCTGTGGTATGTGCAGTCGATTTCCAATCGAGAGGTTGCGGGTTAAATTCCCGGCGACTATGGTCGCACACGTCTTTCTTCTCTTCAACATTCTCCTAGCTCTTCTTTCATTCTCCTGGGTGGTTACCAACAGCCAGTGTATGCCGGAGGATACGCGATATATGTGGTGTGTTGTGTGTGTCGAAAAAGAAAAAAGAATGAAAAAAATGGAGAAAAAATGAAAAAATGAAAAATAGAGATTCATTGGCCAGAAAAAGCCACTTCAATCAGCTGTGTGGTGGATACCAGGCTAAAAATTAGTGGCGGTCAATTCATCAGCCTTGCAAGCTGTTGAATGGTGTTATTCCAGCACAAGTTGCTACATGTATGTCTAACAGACATGTACCTGTAGATGTTCGCTATCATCACTTCCGCGATGGGCAGGTCTGTGGTCTGAGGTGTGTATGTGTGTGTGTGTGTGTGTGTGTCAGCTAGTTCGGTCGGTGGGTACACTTATGCCAGATAGTGTTGTGTCTGTTGCCAACGGGCTTGGCTGCTTCAAGGTGTAATAATTATTGTGTACCTGCCACCTGTGACAAATACATAAACACACACACGCACCACTGGCAGTGGTAGGAGAGGGAGGGAGAGCGAACATGCTCCCAGAGCTAACCAATGTGCACTGTCTGTCCATAAGTCTGAACAGGAGTTTCTTTCTTTATTGCCAGGACATTATTGGCATCTGAACCTACTCAACAAACTACCAAAAAAGAAGAAAAAATGAAAATATCACGGTTCTCGTGAGAATCGGCTGGAAACCGAGTTTTCCGCATCCGTAGGATGCCAAAATACTACCACAATAGTTTGCAAATTCAACTACTTCAATACTTACAAGAGAGTGGATATCCACATCCAGTACGTCATTACTTCATGTACATTGTACATTTAGTCGTGCAGCAGTGTTGGTTTCAACTCAAGTCAATCCTAGAATCTACATAATATGTAGATGCTAGGATTGACAGCACTATATGTATCTATTATTGCACGATTAAAGAGGTCAATATATGAAATATAGAACGAGTAAAAGACCGAGGTCCCCCGAGGTCTTTTACGAGGTCTACATGTATATTTCATATATTGACCGATTATGAGGGCAATAATAGATTTATCACGACATAGCATACCTAAAACTGTTTTTGCTTTGCTATAGGAAGAAAGGAATACTATTGTAATAGTATAATAGTAGGTACATATGCCGTTTACATTGGACATTACTTCTGTGTAAACCGAAGTTTTCAGTTGTCTCTTGTAGTATGTTCCCCAAGTTCTTTGACTGAGAATCTGAAAGTTTGGGTTCAAATCCCAGCATTTGGCTTCAGATTTTTCTTCTTTCAGTTCTGATTTTTTTCTAAGTTGAGGAAAAAGTTCTAAGTCCTCGGGCTAAGTGGTCAATAATAAGTGGTCAATATAAGCGGTCAATAGGGACCTTTCGCACCCCGCGTACGGATACGAAACGAATGCTGATTCGTCACCTGGGTTCGAGGATTCGTCAGAGTCCCTGCGGAGAACTCGTTTTCACGAATGGAAGCCTCTTCATTCGTGGCACGCTCCGAATCCGTCAGGTACACATTTATTTGGATAGGTACACATGTTTTGCAAGGTACACATTTTTCCCTTGATTCCATGATCCATGCACGTGTGCGTGTAAAAACCCGTACGCCAAGCTACCGGCGCCCGCGGCCGTATTCGTAGTTGCCATGCACATTTGCATGACGACTTGCGAAACCTGAAATCTGTTTTCAACGAAACGATTACGAGCCGAATCAAACTTTCGTTTCGCATTCGTTTCGTAGCAAATGCGAAAGGTCCCTAGTATATGCTGACATTTGACCGCTTAGGGGCCGTCCGTAAATATCGATGTTTTTTTAGAGACGATATTGGTGCTTCTCTCCCTTGACCCCCCTCCCTCCCCCCAGAAGACGCACATGTACATCTAGATCATGGAATCAATATTTTTGGATGCTCATTTTTTTGTCAATAATACCCGTGCAGTACAACTCATGCTCAGACAGTGAAGACTGGAAACTCTTGACTTGTGCCTTTGTGGAGTTCGTCCGTGTTTGTTCGCACTGCCTCTACGTCTTGAAAAAGGTCTCCTGCAGGCATCGTTCGGCCTATTTCCACAATCAATAGCTCATTCTTTTGCTCTTGAAATTCGCCATGGGCGTACAGCTTCCAATTTTTGATTTTGTTCTTGTGTCGCGAGTTTTAGCTCCGCGAACGGAAGCTGGTTTCACATTTCTTGTATAGCCATTTAGACGTCCGCGTGCAGGGATCGGCGAAACTTCAGATATTTACATCGATATTTTTCTGATGCTCGAAAAGACGCACATGGCTCAACCCCCCTCCCCCCCAGACGCACCAATATCGTCTCTAAAAAAACATCGATATTTACGGATGGCCCCTTAGAGATCACAAGTTTCTGTGGGGGTCAATAATAAGAGAGTGATAATATAATTTATCACTCTCTTATTATTGACGTCATGACCCCCACAGAAACTTGTGATCTCTAAGCGGTCAAATATCAGCATATATTGACCGCTTATATTGACCACTTATTATTGACCACTTAGCCCGAGGACTTAGAACTTTTTCCTCAACTTAGAAAAAATCAGAACTGAAAGAAGAAAAATCTGAAGCCAAATGCTGGGATTTGAACCCAAACTGTCAGATTCTCAGTCAAAGAACTTGGGGAACATACTACAAGAGACAACTGAAAACTTCGGTTTACACAGAAGTAATGTCCAATGTAAACGGCATATGTACATACTATTATACTACTGTATTACAATAGTATTCCTTTCTTCCTATAGCAAAGCAAAAACAGTTTTAGGTATGCTATGTCGTGATAAATCTATTATTGCCCTCATAATCGGTCAATATATGAAATATAGACCTCGTAAAAGACCTCGGGGGACCTCGGTCTTTTACTCGTTCTATATTTCATATATTGACCTCTTTAATCGTGCAATAATAGATACTTATCGCCTTCTTAGTATTTGACCCCACTAATTTCCCTGATACCTAAGCGGTCAAATATATCGCGTATTTGACTGCTTAGTCAAATACACGATATATTTGACTACTTATATTTGACTCCTTAGAACTTCTTGGACTTAGAAATTTTCTCTCCAACTTAGAAAAAGAAATTTTTGAAGAAAGCAGAAATACACAAGATGGGATTTGAACCCACAACCTTGTGAATCTCAGTCACTCTTCCTTACCACCCAGCCACTGTGCTACCGATGCTGAACCTAGTTTAAACAATGATCTTGACTTTCAATGCAGTACAATGCAGTATAGGCTATAGTATAATACTAGAATTACAAGGATATGTCGTATATGAAGAGAAACGATTGCGTGGAGAACACGATAAATAGATTATAGACCTCATAGTTGGTCTATACAGGATATATAGACCTCGTAAAAGACCTCGGGGGACCTCGGTCTTTTACTCGGTCTATATATCCTGTATAGACCTCCTAACCGGTCTATAATCTATACATATTATGTATTATATTATATATTATCGCCTTCTTAGTATTTGACCCCACTAATTTCCCTGATACCTAAGCGGTCAAATATATCGCGTATTTGACTGCTTAGTCAAATACACAATATATTTGACTACTTATATTTGACTCCTTAGAATTTCTTGGACTTAGAAAATTTCTCTCCAACTTAGAAAAAGAAATTTTTGAAGAAAGCAGAAATACACAAGATGGGATTTGAACCCACAACCATGTGAATCTCAGTTACTCTTCCTTACCACCCAGCCACTGTGCTACCGATGCTGAACCTAGTTTAAACAATGGCCTTCATCCTGCAATGCCGTACAATGCGGTATAGGCTATAGTATAATACTAGAATTACAAGGGTATGTCGTATATGAAGAGAAACTCGGGGGACCTCGGTCTTTTACTCGGTCTATATATCCTGTATAGACCTCCTAATCGGTCTATAATCTATACTTATCTATATATTATATTATGTACCTGTACACACGGCACAGAGCACCAAGCATCGTTCGTTGTACACTAACTAATAGTTTCATGCCCATAGGCCATAGCCTGCATAGCCCATAGGCCATAGCCTCCTGGCCATAGGCAATCATCAGACAACTGATCGTTACAACGAACAATGCTTGGTGCTCTGTGCCGTGTGTAAGATACCTGTATTCGAATCGTTCGCGGCGTTCGGAACGAATATCGAGCACTCTACCGAGCCGGAGGACTCTCATTTGCATCTACTTGCACTGTATAAATACATGTAATACAATGACTGATTGTGATGTAAATGTACAAGGTCACTTTTGATACAGGTCATACCATGTGCGGTCCACTGCGCACGCGCGTACGCCCTATGCCTAGTATGGTCACTATGAATTATCTTCACAAATAATTCCGAGTCATGAAAAATACTTGAAATCACTCGTGAATGACCATCATTTTTTTGCGCATTAGTACATCAACTGGCGACAAAACACTTATCACAGTGGGTGTTTCCTCAGGTGGCAGCAGTCATGATGGTCATTCCGACCATTTGCACGACGAAAAACAGAGAACAAGAATAATCAACAAGTTTTAGCGATCATGTAACAGAGGGAGTATACTCACGACATGTATTTCCCAGCCATAGTCTCGCTGCGGTCTCGCTGCAACGATCAGCAAAATGAAGTTTATCGCGGAGAGACACTCGTCAGCTCGTCAGGCACGGGAGTTGCATTTTGCATACACACAAGCAAACCTTATTATCTTTTGTGATATGGCTCCATGCATGTTTGGTATATGGAATACAAAGAAGACGGCCCGCCATAACCTTGTGTGATTCTGACAAAATACATGACATTTCAGTTCTCTCTGAGAAGAAGAATATAATTATTATGCCAATGGGCAGTGGCTATGGCTTCGGTGCTGGCTGTAGTGGGAACTGGTTCTGTAGGACATGGCTGTGTTCACCATTTTTAGAGTGGTCCGTCGCCTTGACAAGTTTTACTACTCAGTCACAGCATAGCCTTTGGCGGATAATGCTTGACAAATTGATGGATTCTAGCAGACACGTTCTTGAATTTTGCTCCATTTCTCTATCCAAATGCCAAAATATGTATGGAGCATACCAGTAAAGATACATGTACCAAATTAGGCCAATTTTTCTGCCGGTACTAATTAGTGTTACCCACCAAGGGCTAATAACGTTACAGGCCGTACATGAACATAGTCAACATGATTGTACATGACTATACACTCGGACGTCTCTTATCCGGGCACCTTGGGACCGGGCACTGCCCGTATCTCAGAATAACTCATCTACCATGTATCATTTCACTTTTTGAAGAAGTTTATTTGGAACGTATTGCACATGTTCAGGATACAAAAGGAACCCATTGGTAAAAATGTGTGGATTACATAGGTTGGCAGTGAAAAATAAGCACTTCCGAATACGGAAAAAGTTCAAAACCCCCAAATTCGAAGCATTTTTCCCATAGGAACTCAAGCTAAAAGTGCCCGGTAGAGAGACGTGCCCGTATCTGAGGCGTCCGGATAAGAGGCGTTTGAGTGTACATTTTTGTTTCGTTTGCTAGTACATGTACATACAATCATGTTCATGTACATGTACATGAACAATCATTTGTTAGATTGACAGCATGAAAAAAGGTGGAGGAGTTCGGAAACAGTGACCTTACTACAGTACAACCTTCCGCGGTAGGCAGAGCCCCGGTCCCTGCGGACCATTTGAACCAAAATTATGGGTATCGCACCCGGTTCTGACCCTCGTTATGCTAGGGGGTTAGGAGACTACTCCTGATGTCGTCTTGTTTTCTTTAACTTGTATAAAGACTTCTTTTTCTTTTTCTTCCAACTTCTGCCCATGGCGTCCTTCTCTCAACAGTGTTAGGTTATATCATGTACAATCATGTATGTGTATGTGTTGACGACCTCCTGTCCTCTTCCACTCCAAACCATTTCAGAATCCTTCAAACACAGTTCGTCACTCGCAAACGTTGCTGTTCTGTTATCACGAACTAAACTGTACATTGTACATGTACATTGTACATGTACATGTACATTGCACATTCGCCTGCCTTGACTGCACTGTACTGATGACTGGTGTGGGACAGTCAGTAGTTTGTGTCGTACCATTTCGTCCTGCCTTCATTACGTGGACATGTGGCGATTTCTTGGGAAATGTGGCAAGTACATGTACGTGTACGTCGTTGTATTGCTACTGCTAGTCTTGGTGCTTTTCTCCAATGTCATGCAGTCGTATTTAGTCAGCTTGTACTTCTTGTGTGCTTGCATAATTATTAGTTTAGTCCCGAAACTTGCGATAAGATGACGAGCTGCAGCACCTACAACATTATATTCATATCCCACTTTTATATTTTATGTACATTGTATACAGTACATGTATTGTCATTTTGTCATTCGGATCTTCCCAAGTACAGTGTAGTTGCACATTGTACTGTTGAGATACCGAATTCAAAATAAATAATAACTACAATACAATCATCTATAATACATGTTTTCTCCTCCTCTCTGATCCGGTACAGTGTTCACTGACTCAGTACATTGTTTGTTAGCTTGTCAAGTCTGTGCATGACTACGCTTGTCGTGTCACACAACCTGCTAGGGCAGGGCTAGTCAAACTCGGACCTTCTCATGTGGTTACCACGCGTAAACACACACACTGACTTGTGATTTTTACAGTCTCTTTTACAGCCAAACCTTGAATGATCCTAGTGTTCCACAAAAGTTCAATTCTTAGTTCTAAAAACCCCCAAACCACAACAGCATAATACAGACATACCTACTAAGTACATGACTGTAAATGATAACGTTATTGTATGTAAGCAGCAGCAAGTAATAGTTGATTATCCAGTCAACTGTACATGTACATGTGGATACTGCTCCGACTCTTACATGTACATTGTACATGTAAAAAAATTACTTGTAATAGTACAGTCTGTGATGAAGTAAAAATCAAGTCCACACCTGGTGAAAGACTGATTGTCCCGTATCCACTATAACATTATCGTGTGAGATGTGATCAGGACACCATACCTTGAAGTGAAATTAACAGTGCCCACCTGTCACTATCCACTGCAGATACAATGTACATGTACATGTACATGTACATTTAGAAACTGCAAAGTAGGCAATGTTCTAATCTTTCAAGTGACGTTTCCTTTTCTACCTGGACTCCTCCTTGGTTTCCCTTTTCTCTCTAGCTCTTCTCTTGTGCCTTCTTGCTAGTATTATTCACTTTTAAAAATGCGGGGCATTGAATAAAACAAGTCGAGCTACACTGAGAATGATGTTTCGCCGGATGATAGCGCAGCCGGCATGCTCAATGTTACAGCTTTACTGCTGGCACATCAAGCACGATGTTTGTGGAACAACACTCTGTTTGCAAGGAAGCTCTGACCTCGTTTGAACTGTGTGAGAAGATTATTAACCCAACTGAGTAGTGGAAGAGTGTGTTGAGTAGTAGTACTGAGGAGTACAACTGTAGATACATGTAAATGTGCAGTGTACAAAACAAAACAAATTAACAATACCGTTACCCTGTGTTCATGACTGCGAGTGCGAAGATCCACTCCAGTCTCCACCTCCAATCGATCATCCAGCCTGGCACTAGCGTCCGGTCGTGAAGGGTGGATTCAGACTCTCGCTTCCTGAGTGAATCCTGACCGTACTGCCTACAAGAAGCGTGGAGTTAGGCACCCATACTGCCATAGTGCCATACAGCCTTACTTGTTCAATCAAGACCGTAGTCTTCACAGCTAGCGCAGGCACGGATCTGTCAATGTCACATAAGCATTGTCACCATGTCAAATCCCGGTCAATGGTGCGAAATTGACGTGTTGGTCACCTCGTGCACTGCTGCAGGCTATGCATGTAGCGTTCGCACGCACACGTACACAGCTAGCCCTCCATGACATGATCATCCACTGCATGCACTGGGCCAAACGGGACGGCGCCCTAGCTGACCTGTCGAATTCAATCATCGAACATCATGGCAGTTATCAACGCCATGCCCTCCAACCTGTCTAATGATGACAGCACAATGTAGGCTAGCCTGCACAAATCTAGACTTCAAGTAGATTACCGTCGTGATTCCTGCCCTTAGCACAGAGTCCGCGAAGGATGGGTTGTACCAACAAGCAGAGTTATTGTAAAGATGAAAATAATTGTAATGGACTGAAGTACTAATACATGCACATGTTCTTGCTCATGATCAAGAAAACAGCAGGAGTTGCCAAGGCCGTTCTACCTCGGAGTCGGAGTAAAGACGATTCCTCGGTCCACTAGTGGTCGCTCTGGCTGTTCTACTAGTTGAGCACACCCGTTTCAAGTCAAGTCCAGTCGACTCATGGTTTGGATCTTGGACATCACGCGATCACGCTGCAAACGTGCGAAGGAAAACACTGCTAGAGAGTGGCGATGACAAGATGACGGGTGACGAGTAGTGAAGTGTAACCGTCTTCTCGTCCTGACTAGACTGGGTGTAAACTGTAGTCAGTGCGCGTAGCACAATAGACTGTGAGGTCTACGGGAACATGATCAGGTGATCAGGGAAGACGTGTTGTATTAGGTAGAGACGGCTAGCTACAGTCTAGGACTAGTGACACCAAGAGGACACTGACAGCCGTGCAACTGCTCAGACTCTGCTGTTCGACGAGTCATGTGAGTCATGCCTAACTTACTAATGGGCATTGTGCTCGTGTGCACTGCTTATTATTTCCAAGTCTTGTCACACCTGAGAATGGGTGGAGGTACTAGTTGAGGGTAGACCAGGACATCGGGCTCAGCTAGCTCCGTTCAGCAGCATCCGCAGCACACGCTGGATACGGTAGGTGGAGTGCTTTGCAACGTATATCTGCGCTTTGGCTAGCTATCAAAGAACGCTATGTTAGGCTGTATGTTGCATTCGTGTTTGTACTGCCGGCTTTTGTTTCTAGCTTTGCTACACTCTACTCCTGCAACTAATTACTTCTCTGCTCTTCTTGCTAGTGCCAGCGTTGAGCTGAGTGTGGTGTACAGCTAGTATTTTATCACTGTATGAGTGGTGTTTCAATTGGTGAGATAATCAGCCAACATGGTCATTATGATGTTTTGACTTGGGATTACCTACTTGCCAGAATAGAAGACGCTCCGACTCGTTCCCTTGAATGAGATTGCTGGACAACTGAGAGCTCCGAAGTCCCGGACGAGTTTGTGAAGCAGGCTCGGAGATCTGGTTCCTGACGTACCTACTTTTGAAGTAGCTAAAACTACACGTGTGCCGGTCACATTGCGACTATTGTAAGTGATTCACCATGAAACGCGGACGGGAGGTGGACGGTGATCGGGGAGATGATGACGTCAGTAAGCGGTCACGAAGAAACGAGCCAATGCCAATGGCTGCGGAGAAAACAATTTCATCGCCTTCAGCAGCTGGAGACAGAGACCTCCAGGGCGTCGCAACAGTGACTATGACTTGCACGGATGAGCAGCCACGCAAAGGGTTTCCAGCAACACCTGAGCGCAGTTGCCAGGCCCAAAACAGCATCATCACATCCTCCCCAGGGACGATAAGCACCTCAAGGACAGCATCTGCTTCAGCAGTAACACTCACAGAGCAGGTTTCGTCTAGCAGAGACGTTGTTCAAACATCCCTATCCCGCCGTGTTTTTGCTACCGCATCTACTGCTTCTGGGGCTGATAAGGCTGGGTCTCGGGCCGCTTCCAGGTATGGTGCTGCATGCAGTCTGTATTGTCTGAAGGATTATGTGAGAATGAGTGAGAGAGAGAGAGAGAGAGAGAGAGAGAGACAGAGAGTCAGAGAGAGAGACAGAATCAGAGAGACAGAGACAGACAGAGAGACAGACAGATAGAACCAGGTGGGGAGGGGGGGGGGGGAGGAGAGTTATAGAGTCAATGTTTGTACTAGGCAAATATCACCAGACATGCCCAAATCTCCGATTTCGCTCAAAAGCTGACCCCATTTATCCCTGGGTGAGCCTCAGTCATTCATCTACTCTTAACGTTACAGTTTGGTCCAGAGACCCGTCTACTTGGATATTGGGAGAAATCGACTAAACATGCACAGAAACAATGTACAAGAACAGGGTGAGGGGGGGGGGGGGAGGGGGGGGGGGCACTGTTCTGCACAACAACACAGCACAGGCAAACCAACTGCAGAAAAACCTTTAACTAAAGACCACCGTGACTAGCGACAGGCACGGACGGTCTCACATACAATTATGGTTGTGTGGTGACACCTCTAACTAAGGACCACCTGCCACTAAAGACCTCTTTCTCTGGCCCCAAGGGGTGGTCGTTAGTCACAGGTTTTACTGTAATATCATATTCGCACACTGATCCACGTTACCTAGTAAATGTTCAGCCGTACAATTTTAGCCTGGCGACTTTCGGAGTCCGTCGAACTATTCGATCAATTCAGTCAGTGCAATGGCGGCCATCTTCAAGGGCCAGTAGCAGCAAGGTTGGACCCTGAAATTTGGGGTGGACCATGACCATAAACTGGAACAATATGTCCCCAAGCGCCAACAAGTCGTCTTGAATAATATTATCCACTAAAAATCCCTGGGTGTGTGTGTGGGGGGGGGGGGGGTAGTCAAATTTGGAACTCTCCAACGGCCATGCACCAGTCGAATCCAACCTCGTAGCCGGAAAGCACACATGGAGCGCCTCCATATGCCTTTTCGCGCAGCCACCAGTACTGGGACACCATGGGAATAATCCCTTCCCTCGCAGAAACTAGAATGAAGCTGACATCAAGCGTCACTTGCTGACCAAGAGCACAACATGACGAGAAAGAACAACTGGTTCACAACAACTTGACAAATTAGCAAGAACTGCAACAGTAGCGCACTGACATCGCCCAGGAAGTTCTCGTATATTGGCTACATGGTTTTTAGTGCACACTGATTTCACATGTGCATCTGTGTGATGTCGTGCAACTAGAAAATAACAACTTAGCAGTCGCGCTGGGGTCGTAGGAAATATGTAGTCGAGGAATGAGGGCTAACAGCCGTAATACATTCCTCCTCACTTGAGTCTATCATGAACTTTTATATTTAGAGGCTATCACTTAGCAGCCGTATATCTGTGGCCTGTAGGATATGTCACCACTTCTCGCACATATTCGGGACTATAGTGGACTTTCGTATGAAAACATTTATGCTGGTTGAACTGACTGTGCTGCAAAAGGGGGTGCGTCCACCTGTTCCAAGATCGTCCAGAAAGGAATTTATGTACTGGGCAGGTAGTGCAAGCGAGTTTGACATGCGTTCCACGCTCATACCAAATCAAATCAAAACTTTGTTCAGGTTGCCAAGAGCACACATACTTTTGTGCATGAGCGATTTCACCATGCATTTTCCAGGTCTTACCCGCATATCTTTACGTCACTCTCCAAATGGTCTCTGGGCTACACCAATCAATAAAAGAAGAAGGCATGAAAGTAAACTAGTGAAAACTTTCAAATGTGTGTCCAACTGTATAAGCACAAATTTTCGTTCACGATATCATTCGTTAGATCACTCCACCAGCAGGGTCGTTACGTGCTAATTTTCGTTTTTGGTCGAGGCCAGTCACCCCGAACGTTCAGAAAAAATAACTATAGTTATTTCATGCCCCTAACGGATATTAGCAAAAGTTAGTCTAAGGTCCAAGGTGGTATTTTCTAGAAACTCGTAACCTTTAGGAGCTCACCATTTTTTTACAGCTGTTTCTGACTAAGTTGTGGCTGCTGAAGACGATAAAAGTATCGGCAAGTCTGTACAGTTGTCCGTGTGTTGGATATGGCGATCTTCCGACATACGGAAATTGTACATGTACTCTAACCCAGTCATTCTAGAGTACAGTGGCTGCATGCGTTCGCTTATGCACTTGAATCGATTCATGAATCCATTCGCATGCATTATCACAATTTTTTAGAGCTCTTTCTGACTAAGTTGTGGCTGTGGAAGACGATAAAAGTATCGGCAAGTCTGTACCGTCCGTTTGTTAGATATAGCGATCTTCCACTGCATACGGAAATTGTACATATACTCGAAACCAGTCATTCTGGAGTATAGTGGGTTTCTGCATACAGAGTCCGTTTTAGACTCCAGTTGGTGGCAGTCAGGGATCAGGAGGGTACGACTCCCTGGTGGCAATAAAACATCTGTTGTGTATCCACGTACACCCTACATGCAGTCTCACACGCAGCTCACCAGAGTCAACCAGCCGGCATGGATACATGTAGAGTAAGACCTTGATTCAGAGCATGCGCAATGAGTATATACAAATGCATACAGAGTACATAATATATTACATCAGAGTGCATATATAACAATATCCCCCTCGCAAAAAGAGGTAACACCGAAAACAAAACATTTTCATGACAAGGAACAATAGCATAGAACAGACAATGTAATAATGTACCATCGTCTGACGTGCCAATTATCAAAGTTCAATGTTCTATGTGTGGTATGTACTATACAGAGCATTATACTGATATATACAAATGCAACAAGAGAACCACGTACATGCATTCACGATCATCTCAATCAATCCATGCAAATAATATAATAATTACATATCCTACATGTATAAAATGTCTCATCCGTTATACCGAGCTGGTCTTACGACTGACCGACCAGATCGAGTCACCTGCCGGTCAACAGGTACAGCATCAGCTGGGGCTGTAGAAGCTAACGACTGTTGACCCTGCTCATCCTGCGACTGTTGCATGGGCTGCTCTTTCTGCTGTGAAGTCGTCGGCTGTTGAGCCTTCTGAGGCGGCAACTGCTGTGGCACCTGCTGCTGCTGCGGCTGAGGCTGTTGCTGTTGTGGTGCAGAACGTGTCTGTTCTGCTAACTGAGAAAGTGGTATTGAACGTGGCCGGAGTTGGTTACGGTGTCGTTTCCAGACCACATCATTTACCTGGACAGAGTAATTCATAGCACTGCAGATAGAGAGAACAACACCAGGGACCCAGGTTGTACCATGGTTTTGAAAACGTAACGCAAACACAGCATCACCCGGTTTGTATTCTGGTAGCAAATGCTGGTTTTGATTGAAAGATTGTGCCTCCGCATTCCGTGTTGTTTTCAAAGCATCATAACGTAGTCGTGGTTGGCGATTAAATAGCATTTCTGCCGGTGATTTACCATTCGCCGTAGGAGTTGACCGAAATGTCATTAGAAATCGTTGTAGTCGTGTATCTAGGTCGTCACCTTCTGTTCCCATTGCTTTCATTTTAGCTTTAAAATGACCGACATATCGCTCAGCGAGACCGTTTGTCTCCGGATGGCCGGGAGCTGAACGAGTGTGTGCGATTCCATTTTTCTGGAGAAACGAGGTAAATTCAGCACTAGTGAACTGGGTCCCATTATCACTAACGATGTGAGTGGGTAGACCGAATGTGGCAAACAAACGTCTCAAAGCTTTGATAGTACCCGTTGATGTGGCATGTGTCATCGGGACAATTTCCAGATATTTCGTATACGCATCGACAATCACCAGAAACATTTTGCCCATGAATGGACCCGCAAAGTCTATGTGCAGACGACGCCATGGACCCGACGGCCATGACCAGGTAGCATAGGATTTACTAGGTTTGCGTGCCTGTTCTTGACACGTAGCGCACATTTTGGTGGTATCTTCAATTTCGTCATCCATCTTTGGCCACCAGAAATATCGACGTGCCATACGTTTCATTCGTACAGCGCCTGTGTGTTCCGAGTGCAATTCACTCAAGAGCATCGCGCGCAAAGCCATGGGGATTACCACTCGTTCATTCCAGAGTAATACATCATTTACAATAGATAGTTCCCAGCGCTTTACAAAGTACGGCTGTAACTCCACCTCTTTCACATGCTCTGGCCAACCATTCAAAGTGTAGTGACGAACACGCTCTAGAACTGGATCATCTCCAGTGGCATTCAATACAACTTGAGCATCAATGAGCTCGTCCTCAATGAAAAGTACACGTGTTTCACCTAGTTCCGGGGTAGAAGGATTTCCAGAAATTGGTTTTCTAGACATGAAATCTGCCAGAACATTTGCCTTTCCCGCAATGTGTTGGATGGTGTAGTCATACGCTGAAAGTAATAACTTCCATTTCTTTAATCTGGAAGAAACCAGGAACGGAACACCTTCCTGCATGCCGAACAATTTCACCAGAGGTTTGTGATCAGTTTCAAGGACAAATTTCTTTCCCAGGAGATATTGGCGAAATTTGGTTGCACCAAACACAAGAGCGAGTGACTCCCGTTCAATATTTGAATAGTTTCTCTCCGCTTTATTCAACAGACGAGACGCATACGAAATGGGTTGGTAATCACCATTTTCGTTTTTCTGTAAAAGAACCGCACCAAGACCCGTTCCTGATGCGTCGCATTGCAAGACATGCTCCAGACCCGCCGAATAGTGCGCCAAAACCTCCGTGGAACATAAAGCATTCTTTATCGTAAGGAACGCTGTCTGTTCAGAATCTGACCATCTCCAAACAGTATCTTTCTTTAGCAGAGCGTAAAGTGGCGCCATAATCCGAGCAAAATTGGGTATGAATTTGCGAACATAATTCGCAGACCCAATAAACGATTGAAGCTCACTGACGGACGTAGGAGCATTGGCATTAACCATAGCATCGATTCTTCCTGGCGAAGGCGCCATACCACTCGCACTCAAAGTATGACCAAGGTACGAGACTTGCGGTAGCATGAACTCGGTTTTCGTGGCTTTCAAACGCATTCCCGCATCTTGTAGCCGCTGCAAAACCATTTCCAGATTTCTTTTGTGCTCTGCATCATTTCGACCTGTGACTAGAATATCATCTACATACACAATGCAGCCATCGATACCCGCCAGGAGAGTCTCCATAGTACGCTGAAATATGGAGACTGCTGAATGAATGCCAAACGGTAGACGTACATATTCAAACAGACCACGGTGGGTATTGATTGTAGTATACCCCCTCGACTTAGGATCAAGCTCTAGCTGGTGGTACGCCTGAGATAAATCAAGCTTCGTAAACTTCTGCCCACCATTCAACTTGGCACGAATTTCGTCTATGGTAGGTAACGGATATTTTTCTAAATCCGAATTAGCATTGATGGTGCGCGAGTAATCAGCACAGATACGTACATTTCCGTCTGGTTTTTGAACCGGAACCGTAGGTGAAGCCCATTTCGAAAATTCAACTTTGCGTATTACACCTTCCTCCTCCAGTTTAGAGAGGCCTTGCTCGTATTTCTCCCGGATTGCAAATGGTACTGAACGAGCCTTCATGTACACAGGTTTTGAATCATTTACACGCAAAGTGACCTGAGTTGAATTTAATTTGCCGACAGTTGACGTGTCAAACAAACTCTCAAATTTCTGAAGCATTTCCTCCTGCAGCTTTGCGCGTATAAGAGCATTATCAATTTCAGACTTCACCGAGAATATTTCCCTCCATTCTAGTTTGAAAAGTGAGAGAAGATCTCTGCCCAACAGAGATGGACCATTTGTATCGACAATGCGCAAGAGAACAGTGTGCTTTTGCCCATTTATTGACACTGGAAATTTCCCTTCACCTAAACAGGGGATGATGGAACCGGAAAACCCAATGAGCTGGACTGATTGAGTTACAAGAGACGACACTGGTGCACCCAATTTCTCGTAATCAGATTTGGTGATGATGGATACAGCACTACCTGTATCGATTTCCATGCAAATTGGTGAACAAACATCATTGATTTCCGCCATTACAGTATACGGAGGGTGTTTTCCACTACCCGATCGAATCTTGTAGATAGGCATATCATCAACATCACAATCAGAAACGATCTCACCTCGATCATCAGGTTCGTCATCCACGTGGTGAATTTCACCTCGTTTCTGCTTGGTGATGCAGGCTCTTTCGAGATGTCCTCGTTTCTTGCAGTATCGACAAGTAGTAGATCGATGAGGACACTTGTCAGCCATATGCAAATCAGATGTACAACGATAACAAACCTTGCCCTTCGTCGACTTTGACCCTTTCTGGTCCTGCGAGTGATTTGGCTTTCTAGATGCACTTGCTGACTTGGATTTACTGGTAGTGGTAGCTCTCATCTTGTTGACTGACTCGGACGGCGTAGATGTTGATCTAGTACTAGTAGTAGTACCTGGAGTAAGCTGCTCAGCAAACATGATGGCGCGCTCCTCCCGTAAAGCGATATCCAGCACATCCTGAAACTTCTTCGTCTTGCTGTCAGGACTAGTCAGAATCGTCCGCTTGATCTCCTGACTGTAGACTCCTGCCATAAATTGATCTTTTAGGGATCTGTCTAAATGCGACCCAAAGTCGCAGGCTACTGCCGCACGTTTCAAACGATTTGCGTAATCTACCAGCTTTTCCGCTGGTCTCTGGTTGCAATCGCGAAATTGAAAAGAAGAAGTCATCGTGGAACGCTCCACTCTGTAATATCCATTCAGTAGGTCACAAATCTGCTCGAAGGTCTTGTCCGATATTGACTCCGGCAGACAGAGGTTCCGCAAAGTGGAGTAGACGTCTTTCGACAGTGAAGAGATTAGATGTGCAATCATCTTCTTACGTACGCGTTCTTTCTCCGATGAGTTTGCACTGGCTGAAACAACACCGATGTCATTTGCGAGAAAATAAAACTCAAGCCGTTCCCGGTACTCCGCAAAGTCCCCGCCAGAAAACTGCTCCAGGGTGGCCTTCCCTGAAGAGGCCATGGTTTACCAAATTCTCGCAAGCACTCAACTAAACAAATTATCTCAAAACAAAATTTTCATCTTCGTCGCCATTTGTTGTGTATCCACGTACACCCTACATGCAGTCTCACACGCAGCTCACCAGAGTCTACCAGCCGGCATGGATACATGTAGAGTAAGACCTTGATTCAGAGCATGCGCAATGAGTATATACAAATGCATACAGAGTACATAATATATTACATCAGAGTGCATATATAACAACATCATTCAGCTGAATACATTGAAAAAAAAGGAAAATGTAATATTTAGGTGGACTTGCAAGGTCAGTGCGAGCAACTGTACAAATACAATCAAATTGATTTTCATGCGAATCTGTGGCATGGCTGTCAAAAACTTCGAGTTGTGTAATGTGGCGCTCAATCCCTGATACAAATTTTGTATTGGTGCTACAAAAAAATGAAAAGTACATGGGCTGTGTCATGTACTCAAGCCCAGGAGCAACTAGAATACAGTAGCAATGACTCTGAGCCGACAAAATTAAATACAAGTGAAAAGACAACCAAACTATTTACATATCTGTCTCAAGCGGCTGATGGAACTGCAACCGGTCGCCGAAGTGTTCCATGAGGCGTTGCTTCACCGCGAAGGACCTCTGAACATGACCAATCAATCCTAGTTCGTCCAGGACTGTAACGTTTACACACTTCAGTCATATCTGTTGCGGAGTTACTCTGAGTCAGGACACTAATTTCAATCCACTCACACAATTTCATGAATGCCTGCGTCTCGACATCGCCATTCTGGGCCAGATCAGAATCCACTGCATCATTAGCAAGACGTTTCAAAGACTTCTTGTTTACGTACAGTGAAAAACAGCTACAGTGATACTTGATCTGATTCTCTATACCATCCTGATTTTCAAGTTAGTTCAATATTCTAGCGTGGCTGCGTGTACGAGCAGCATCGAGCAGACTAAACTCTGCCTCGTATGTGGCGCACTGAGTACATTTCTCTGCCAAGCGCCTGTTCTGCGCGTCAGGTATATAATCCTGGCACACCATACACTTGCTCAGATCGTGCCTGTTCCGCTTCGGGTCTGCCCGCTTGATTCGGCTCCAAAACACTCTAGAGCAAGCTTTTCTTCAAACGTCAAAATGCTTCTTGACGGACTCTGTATGCAGAAACCCACTATACCCTAGAATGACTGGGTTCGAGTACATGTACAATTTCCGTATGCAGCGGAAGATCGCCATATCTAACAAACGGAGAACTGTACAGACTTGCCGATACTTTTATCGTCTTCAGCAGCCACAACTTAGTCAGAAACAGCTCTAAAATAATTGTGAGCTCCTACTTGCCACGAAACTTCTAAAATACGACTCTTTTTCGAAATGGGACCCGCACTAAGTTCATTCCAAAAGAAACTTTGTACTTGTCCATTACTTCTAAGTATGATAGCATTCTTGTCTCCAAGGAAAATGAGGTAGATGGTTTGGGATTAATCAACATGTTTGATTTCCCCTGGCAAGGTCAGAGGTCTAGGCAGAACATTCTGGACACCTCTCATCCCTGCTGTGCAGTGGAGATTGGATAATTATAACGATACTCCTTCGGGAGAAAACAAAATGTCACTATATTCAATCTGTCACTAAACCCGATCTTCAGATTTAGTATGCAATTGTATAAAATATGTATAATTATCTAAGTGACAGAAATGTATGCATAATAATGCACTTGGATTTCGAATGTGCATTTGTGTTGCATCCATAGTTAAAGCCAAAAGTCATGGGTAGCAACTACACCGCTGCACTGCGGCTACAATGTGCAATGACCAGCACGCGTGGAGTGACCCAAAGGTCCCGGCATGTGACACAGACATGTCCTATGCATGCCACTTCGCCTGATACAGGAGGAAAGTCCTTATACCGTACTGGCAATATATGTTGCCGCATAACGCGTAACGCAGGGGGGGGGGGGGGTGCGGCGTAACGCGCGACCAGGCTAGTGCGACAAATTTTCGTTGAGTTCGTAACGCGCGTCCGGCGGGGTGCGGCGATCTTTTCATTGCAGTTTGCACTGCAAAAAAAAGCTTAAAACTGTGAAATCACGTGTACCGCGTGGTGAAAAGTTCAAAACTGGACGCAGCAGGAAGTCCTGACACTCGAAGGCGCATCATTCAGTGGTTGGCGATCTCAATGGTTTCTTCTTTCCCGAGGTCGTTTTGCGAAGAAGAGCGATGTGTTTACCAGTTTCCCTGTGACAATGCAGAAGTCTCTATTCGCCTTCGGCGTGAAGAAAATCACGCCCAAGCATCATTCAGTGGTTGGCGATCTCAATGGTTTCTTCTTTCCCGAGGTCGTTTTGCGAAGAAGAGCGATGTGTTTACCAGTTTCCTTGTGACAATGCAGAAGTCTCTATTCGCCTTCGGCGTGAAGAAAAAATGATGCGGCAAAAGCAAAAAAAATGATGCGGCAATAGCAAAAAAAGGACTGCGGCAATATAGAAACCTGTGTAACGGCTCCTGTGCGACTTTGCATGTAACGCCCTGCGTGCGGCAAACATGTGCCAATGTAACGCTTCATGGCCTCACTGCGGCAACATATACTGCCAGTACGGTATTCGATGCATTCTCAGGTTTTCTGGCACCAAAAAAGTGTTAGTAAATTCGATCTGTTGTAATTTTCGAGTTCGTTACACCTGATCTATAATGTACAGAAAGGACTTGATAAATGACTTGGGCAACAGAAATTTGTCGCTAAACTCGATTTGTCGTTATATCCAAGGTCGTCATATCCAATCCACTGTATTTTCTCAATCTACAACTGTAGACATCGAACATTAAAATGATATCTTCTATGTGCTCTGTTTCGTTCGTGTGTGTGTGTGTGTGTGTACCAATACGGCATTCTGTCTGTGAATCACATCCATTCCTGTCTCGGATGGTGGATACCCATAGAGTCATCAGTGAGTTTGGCGAGTTACCCGAGCTTGTCCTAGGCAGAACATCATCAACTATCACATCCAGCCAGCATCCCTCATCATGTACTAGCACTACCGGCCAGCATCCCTCATCATCTGCAGAGCTATTGGAGACATGTGACGATGCAGCAAGGAAAGAGAGAGAGAAAGAGTCGGACTCTGGAGCTAGTGATGATGAGCAGGTCAAAAGTCAGCGAAAACGACGAGGAGTGAGTACTGTAATTTTTAGAATATCCCCTACCCCCCCCCCCCCCTACCCCTCCCCCTATCCCTCCCCCCCCCCAACACACACACACAAACACATACATACACATACATATTTTGCTCCTGCTCTCGTAGCAGTTGAGCACTCTTGTGTGGAGTAGTGCCTTTGCTGTTTGCGTTACGCAGAGCTCACTGACTTGTCAGTTTGGATACTCTGGCAAGGAATGTTCGGGCCTGGCTTAAATCTGGCTTTGGAAAATTTATTTTTCATTGCTATCAGGTTCGGCCTCATTTCCTCTGTGCTGCGCTGATGAGTCCACACTTTGGGTAGACCATCACCATAGTCTGGCACAACATGTTCCCGAGCGCCAACAAGTGATCTTGAATCAAGTTATCCACTAAAAATCACTTGAAGAAATATTCAAATTTCGAACTCTCCAACGACCATGCATATGTCTCCATATGCGTTATTCGCTACGCTACCAGTAGTGAGACATCAAGGGAGTAATCCCTGGCCTCGCAGAAAGGTTGGGGCAGAATGTTCTCTTGTGCTGGGCAGCTACAGTCCATTCATTGGAAACAGTCCCGCTGGCTTTTGAAAGTCCGATTTAGGCCGAATTGAGGATCAAAAACCCACTTTAAATCTCAAAAATCTGGGTTTGGGATCTGCTTCTCCATACATTTTGCCATGGCATACCTGTTCTAATTTTGTAAAATCTGGCTGAATTTCTATTTCCCTGTTCTTGGACTTTTCTGGCCTCAAATGTGGCAAGAAGTAATTGCACTGGTCACACAATGCAGGCGGTACTGTTGTTTTCATGATATCTACGACTATGTGCGGGAGACACCAAAAAGTTGGACTGCCAGTTTCCAATGAATGCACTGTAAAGCACGCAAGTTTCACATGCGTGCTACACTCCTATCAAAATTTTCAAAAATTTCTCTCAGGTTGCTATGAGCTCATGTATTACCGGTGCATGCGTATTACCGGTGCATGCGTATTACCGGTGCATGCGTATTACCGGTGCATGCGTATTACCGGTGCATGCGTATTACCGGTGCATGTGTATTACCGGTGCATGCGTATTACCGGTGCATGCGTATTACCGGTGCATGCGTATTACCGGTGCATGCGTATTACCGGTGCATGCGTATTACCGGTGCATGCGTATTACCGGTGCATGCGTATTACCGGTGCATGCGTATTACCGGTGCATGCGTATTACCGGTGCATGCGTATTACCGGTGCATGCGTATTACCGGTGCATGCGTATTACCGGTGCATGCGTATTACCGGTGCATGCGTATTACCGGTGCATGCGTATTACCGGTGCATGCGTATTACCGGTGCATGCGTATTACCGGTGCATGCGTATTACCGGTGCATGCGTATTACCGGTGCATGCGTATTACCGGTGCATGCGTATTACCGGTGCATGCGTATTACCGGTGCATGCGTATTACCGGTGCATGCGTATTACCGGTGCATGCGTATTACCGGTGCATGCGTATTACCGGTGCATGCGTATCACCGGTGCATGCGTATCACCGGTGCATGCGTATCACCGGTGCATGCGTATTACCGGTGCATGCGTATTACCGGTGCATGCGTATTACCGGTGCATGCGTATTACCGGTGAATGCGTATTACCGGTGCATGCGTATTACCGGTGCATGCGTATTACCGGTGCATGCGTATTACCGGTGCATGCGTATTACCGGTGCATGCGTATTACCGGTGCATGCGTATTACCGGTGCATGCGTATTACCGGTGCATGCGTATTACCGGTGCATGCGTATTACCGGTGCATGCGTATTACCGGTGCATGCGTATTACCGGTGCATGCGTATTACCGGTGCATGCGTATTACCGGTGCATGCGTATTACCGGTGCATGCGTATTACCGGTGCATGCGTATTACCGGTGCATGCGTATCACCGGTGCATGCGTATCACCGGTGCATGCGTATCACCGGTGCATGCGTATCACCGGTGCATGCGTATCACCGGTGCATGCGTATCACCGGTGCATGCGTATCACCGGTGCATGCGTATCACCGGTGCATGCGTATCACCGGTGCATGCGTATCACCGGTGCATGCGTATCACCGGTGCATGCGTATTACCGGTGCATGCGTATTACCGGTGCATGCGTATTACCGGTGCATGCGTATTACCGGTGCATGCGTATTACCGGTGCATGCGTATTACCGGTGCATGCGTATTACCGGTGCATGCGTATTACCGGTGCATGCGTATTACCGGTGCATGCGTATTACCGGTGCATGCGTATTACCGGTGCATGCGTATTACCGGTGCATGCGTATTACCGGTGCATGCGTATTACCGGTGCATGCGTATTACCGGTGCATGCGTATTACCGGTGCATGCGTATTACCGGTGCATGCGTATTACCGGTGCATGCGTATTACCGGTGCATGCGTATTACCGGTGCATGCGTATTACCGGTGCATGCGTATTACCGGTGCATGCGTATTACCGGTGCATGCGTATTACCGGTGCATGCGTATTACCGGTGCATGCGTATTACCGGTGCATGCGTATTACCGGTGCATGCGTATTACCGGTGCATGCGTATTACCGGTGCATGCGTATTACCGGTGCATGCGTATTACCGGTGCATGCGTATTACCGGTGCATGCGTATTACCGGTGCATGCGTATTACCGGTGCATGCGTATTACCGGTGCATGCGTATTACCGGTGCATGCGTATCACCGGTGCATGCGTATCACCGGTGCATGCGTATCACCGGTGCATGCGTATGACCGGTGCATGCGTATTACCGGTGCATGCGTATTACCGGTGCATGCGTATTACCGGTGCATGCGTATTACCGGTGCATGCGTATTACCGGTGCATGCGTATTACCGGTGCATGCGTATTACCGGTGCATGCGTATTACCGGTGCATGCGTATTACCGGTGCATGCGTATTACCGGTGCATGCGTATTACCGGTGCATGCGTATTACCGGTGCATGCGTATTACCGGTGCATGCGTATTACCGGTGCATGCGTATTACCGGTGCATGCGTATTACCGGTGCATGCGTATTACCGGTGCATGCGTATTACCGGTGCATGCGTATTACCGGTGCATGCGTATTACCGGTGCATGCGTATTACCGGTGCATGCGTATTACCGGTGCATGCGTATCACCGGTGCAGGCGTATCACCGGTGCAGGCGTATCACCGGTGCATGCGTATCACCGGTGCATGCGTATCACCGGTGCATGCGTATTACCGGTGCATGCGTATTACCGGTGCATGCGTATTACCGGTGCATGCGTATTACCGGTGCATGCGTATTACCGGTGCATGCGTATTACCGGTGCATGGGTATTACCGGTGCATGCGTATTACCGGTGCATGCGTATCACCGGTGCATGCGTATTACCGGTGCATGCGTATTACCGGTGCATGCGTATCACCGGTGCATGCGTATCACCGGTGCATGCGTATCACCGGTGCATGCGTATCACCGGTGCATGCGTATCACCGGTGCATGCGTATTACCGGTGCATGCGTATTACCGGTGCATGCGTATTACCGGTGCATGCGTATTACCGGTGCATGCGTATTACCGGTGCATGCGTATTACCGGTGCATGCGTATTACCGGTGCATGCGTATTACCGGTGCATGCGTATTACCGGTGCATGCGTATTACCGGTGCATGCGTATTACCGGTGCATGCGTATTACCGGTGCATGCGTATTACCGGTGCATGCGTATTACCGGTGCATGCGTATTACCGGTGCATGCGTATTACCGTAGCATGCGTATTACCGGTGCATGCGTATTACCGGTGCATGCGTATTACCGGTGCATGCGTATTACCGGTGCATGTGTATTACCGGTGCATGCGTATTACCGGTGCATGCGTATTACCGGTGCATGCGTATTACCGGTGCATGCGTATTACCGGTGCATGCGTATTACCGGTGCATGCGTATTACCGGTGCATGCGTATTACCGGTGCATGCGTATTACCGGTGCATGCGTATTACCGGTGCATGCGTATTACCGGTGCATGCGTATTACCGGTGCATGCGTATCACCGGTGCATGCGTATCACCGGTGCATGCGTATCACCGGTGCATGCGTATCACCGGTGCATGCGTATCACCGGTGCATGCGTATCACCGGTGCATGCGTATCACCGGTGCATGCGTATCACCGGTGCATGCGTATTACCGGTGCATGCGTATTACCGGTGCATGCGTATTACCGGTGCATGCGTATTACCGGTGCATGCGTATTACCGGTGCATGCGTATTACCGGTGCATGCGTATTACCGGTGCATGCGTATTACCGGTGCATGCGTATTACCGGTGCATGCGTATTACCGGTGCATGCGTATTACCGGTGCATGCGTATTACCGGTGCATGCGTATTACCGGTGCATGCGTATTACCGGTGCATGCGTATTACCGGTGCATGCGTATTACCGGTGCATGCGTATTACCGGTGCATGCGTATTACCGGTGCATGCGTATTACCGGTGCATGCGTATTACCGGTGCATGCGCATTACCGGTGCATGCGTATTACCGGTGCATGCGTATTACCGGTGCATGCGTATTACCGGTGCATGCGTATTACCGGTGCATGCGTATTACCGGTGCATGCGTATTACCGGTGCATGCGTATTACCGGTGCATGCGTGGTTACGCTATGCATTTTATAGGCACAGGAGGGCCGCGGCTGTGCACTAAAGAGGACTTTTTTTATTCTCGATTTTCCAATTGCAATGCGTACCTGAAATCCTCGAGTGCTCAACTGCTACATCGTGATTTTCTACTTTTACTTGGAAGTACAACGAGGCGTCTATGCACACGTAAAACACGCGTGCACTAGCTGCCCAGTGCAAGAGAAAAAGTTTGGCCACCTTGCGTTACTGTTGCAGTCCTTGCTTGGTTTTGTTCTGGAGCAGTTCTTCCTTCTCTTCACTGTTGTTCACCAAGTGACGCTTAGTGGCAGCTTCATTCGAGTTTCTACGAGGGCAAGGATTGCTCCTATGTTGTCTCACTGCTGGCAGCATAGCGAAAAGGTATAATTATAACGGCTGTGTACGCCTTTCTGTTCTGAGGTTGGATTCGGCTCGTACATGGCCGTTGCAGAATTCGGAATTTGAATATTTTCCCATGTGATTCCTAGTGAACTTAGAAGTTGCGACTTTGGCGGTATTAGTCATGAAGTTGGTTGTTCCAACGAGGAACACACGCTTCTTGCCGAACTTGACATTTGATTGACTCACGACTGCCATCTGGAGCACACAAGGAGCAAGTCGCACCTTCCACTCGGCAAACCTGCAAGAAAGCACCACTCCCTGTTTAAGCAAGGAGCAGGGACCCCTCGCACCCAGGGACCAGCAGGAAGTCCTCGCATCAGGGACCAGCAGGAAGTCCTCACATCAGGGACCAGCAGGGACCCCTCGCATCAGGGACCAGCAGGGACCAGCAGGGACCCCTCGTTCTTGTACCTCGGTTGAAGGTGTTTAAATTCGTGTTTTTATCGATTTTTTGATTTTGGTCAATATCTCAAGAGCGGAGGGTTTCTGGACCAAACTGTCGTAGTGGGCAAATGAGGTCCACCTAGCTATAAAAGGTGCAAACTTTGAGTGAAATCAGAATTTGGCAATGTCGGGTGATATTTGTGTTAAAAATCAATGTCTCTAACGACCAAAAATCACCCGACATGGCCAAATTTCCGATTTCGCTCAAAGTTGCCTCCTTTAATCCCAGAGTGGACCTTGTTCGCCCACTATGACAGTTTGATCCAAAGACCAAAGTTCTTTGGATATTGGGCAACATAAACACGACTAGTTACCTAGTAAAGTTTAGGCATCCACCTTTCGATCGGCGACTTGCTGATTCCCTCGAACGAATCGATCAATTCAGCCTCTCCATTGACGGCCGTTACGAAGGCCATCTTCAAGGGCCAGTAGCAGCTGGGCTATGCCCTGAAATTGGGAGTAGACCACCATAGCCTGCTACAACATGTCCCCAAGCGCCAACAAGTGGTCTTCAATAAAGTTATCCACTAAAAGTCAATGTCTTGGGGAAATATTCAAATTTCGAACTCGCCAACGGGCAAGCACTAGCCGAATCCAACCTCGGAAAGCACACAGGAAAGCCTCCATATACTTTTTCGCTAGATGGCCCAAATTAAATACAGGGCAGCCCGTGCACGCGAGTTTCACGTGTTCATTGATATCCATTGAAAAGTTCTCTTCGGGGCATAGCCACGGCCCTCCTGTACCTAAAAATGCAGGATGTAACAGCGCAAGCACCGAAAGTACATAGGCTCATAGCAACCTGAGAGAAATTTTGAATTTTTTGATGAGAGCGTGGTAGGCCTGTGAAACTCACGTGCACTAGCAGACCAGCACAAGAGATCATTCTGGCCCGATCAACTGTTGAAGTTAGTGCTGATTTTTGTTGTGGAGCAGTTCTTCTTTCTCGTCATGGTGGGCAGTTGTACAGCAAGTGACGCTTTGTAGCGGCATCATTCGGGTTTCGGCGAGGGAAGTGATTATGCCAATGATATCACAGTGGTGATAGCGTAGCGAAAATGCATGTGGAGACGCTCTGTGTGTGCTTTCCTGTGACGAAATTGGATTCGGCTAGTGCATGGCCGCCAATAGACAGGCTGAATTCATCGATTCGTTTAAGGGATTCAGCAAGTCGCCAATCGAAATTTGGATGGCTAAACATTACTAGGTAACTTGGATCGGTGTGCGAACATAGTTGGTTGTGCTGAGCTGCGTTGTTGTGAGCAGCATTGTACCGTCATTCTTTTACCTTGTTTGAAGGTGTTTCGGTTCGTATTGTATCAGTTTTTTTGATTTTGGTCAATATCTAAAGAGCAGAGGGTTTCTGGACAAAACTGTCATAGTGGGTGAATGATGTCCACCTAGGGATAAAAGGAGCCAACTTTGAGCGAAATCGGAAATTTGGCCATGTCGCGTGATGGGCTGAAAAAAAGAAGAAAAGAGGTGCTCAGGATGATACATGAGCTCACTTCGCAAGACAATCAATCTGCCTCTTCCCATCTTTGTGTGATTTTTGCCTAGGAGATCGAGAAAAAGCGCCGAGACCGCATCAACAACTGCCTGGAAGAACTGAAGAGCTTGATTCCGGAGGCGAGTCGCAAAGGCAATACAAAAGTTGAGAAGGCAGAGATTCTCACCCTGACCGTAGAGTTCCTCAGAGCAACAACAAGGGGACTGGCACCTCATGAAGGTTAGCCGATTACTTTATAAACTGAGAATTCATGTTGTATAATTGCTGGATTGCATATTTATTATGGGGGCTGTGGGTACGTAGAGATCTTGCGACCTTGCTGATAAACCCTCTCTCCAAGATCCGGTTGTGTGTTGTTTTAACTATGTGTCTAAGCACATCATTTGAGATATACCGGTAATATGTCTGTTCGTAGAAGTTGCATGTACGTGAATACTGACAGCATGCCAACTGGGAAAGCTATCATATTTTCGTTCCTTTGGAGAGGGGAAGAATGGTGGTGGTGTTGTTGGTGGTAATGGGGTGGTGGTGTTTATGCTTTGAACTACTAGCAATGTTGCGAATTAGGAGCACATTCTGCTGACCCCATCCAATCCAAGCTGCCACAGAAATTCGTTTTCTCTGTTTGTGCTGTGTGCATAGTACAGTAGTTTTCCGGTAGTCTACAGACTGGGGTTTGCAAATTCCACTGCAGTCACTTCAAAACACCCCATCATTACAGTCCATTTCAAAACTATAGACGCGTACCTAGGCAAAAACCGTTATGCCAGCATCTATACAACATAAAATCTGTGATCACTTTGTGCGTAATTTTTCCCAAATTGGGCGTCTGTTATCCAATCGTTTAGGAACTATTATGAGAGAAATTGCGGAGCGGACCTGAGCCATATTCCGAAAACTATTTTCAAAAAGTTCCAGCCAAATTTGAAATATTTCAAAAACCCTACGCGTCTATAGTTTTGAAATGGACTGTAGGGCCCTGATATTGGCTCCTGATCAAACATCAGATTTGGATGGCTTCAGCAAAGAGACCACTTGCTTTCAGGATTGTGTAGGGTTTGCAGCTATGTCGTCGATATGTCTACAATGGTGTTTTCGTGCTGAGCAAACTTTCTTCTTCTCCCGTTGTCATCACTCTGTGTGTTCTGTGGGTGCACAGTTATCGCTCAAGACTACCATTCCCGAGGCTATCGGGAGTGCATGTCCGACACACTTCAGTATCTAGCGCAGCACGAGAACTTCCGTGCGGATCAGCAGCAGAATCTCCGTCAGCACCTCTCACAGTGCTTGCTGTACAGTGAGAGTACTCCAGCATCCAGAGCAGCAGCTACGTCGACAATACTTGGTGAGGATTTCCCGGCCAACGCAATAGTCAGCATGCCAGATGTGATCAACCCCTCCAATGCTGCACAACCTAGTCAACTTGTGTCCGCTCACAACGCCGGTATTTTCTCGAAAGACTCGCGACCAGTGTTGGAACTGCCTATTTCAACGCAATCCCTCTACCAGTACGGTCCCACTCCGCAAAGCCCACTGACTTCACCTCACACAGCAATTCCAACACCGCACTCGCCTTTTACGCCCCAGAAAGCCTGTCCACCAATGTCACTGCTCAGTCCGGCTAAAAGCAATCCTTCACCGAATGCACGCTCTCAGTCACTTGCTTCAGGTATAGTGTCCAGTCTGCATGCCCAGCTTCCCAACCAGTTTTCAATGGAAGGAGCGTCGAATAGAAGCCGTCAACGAGGAGCCCCCATGGTTGGTGCGCCAAGTCAAAACGCTAACATACCAAGTCCATTTTCGTCGCTGCCGTTACATGCTCAGAACGCATTTGGCGGCAGAGGCCATTCCACACCGATCGCGCAAAGTCCGGCTGGCGTGGAGACGGACGTGAAGTCGGCAAGTGCATACTCCACGACGTCGTCGATGTACCACTACCCGACTAGTGACTATAGCACTGAGCAGGATACCACCATGCCTACACTGGCATTACACCAGCAGCAGCCACAGCCTGTAGCACCCTTTTACCACCCTCACCAGCAGCAACCTCAAAATGATATCTGTAGCATCGAGAGCTTGATCTTGCCAAGCCAAGGCACTGGCGCGTACGACTCCCGAACCCATAGCATGCCGCAAGGCAGTCTAGCCTATCATCTCGCAGCCGGCGGCAGCAGTCAATCCGAGCAAGCCAAGGTAAAGGAAGAGTTATGCTCTCCATTCCAGTCCACGCAGGCTGGTCTGTCCCCGATGCTTCCGGGTACCTGGGGCCAGCGTTAAACACACGCATCAAGACTGTGAGTGGGAACGACTGTGGCCTACCGGTATATCATTGCAGTGACCTTAACTGTGACTGTGGAGTGGCCTTTTTTATGCTATTAAAATCTACTTATTGTTACTGAACTAGGCAAAGGTCGGAACTCGACCACCTGTTTACCGCCCTAGAGCCGTAAGGCAGACAAGTAAAACACCTTCCCGTATACTGTTGTTGATCATACTAATGGTTAGGTTTGGGGCGGTGTGGTTTCAGTAATGATTATAAACTTTGAAGAAGCGAGTATGCCTGTTTGATTATCAGAAATACTTACTTTTTGAAGTTAATGACTGCCGCCCATTCACATTTTGCAATTCAGTTTATGTATCCATTGTCTGTCTGCATCAGTAACATGAATCCAGGGATATCGTCGTCCACTGGTAATGTTCCTTGAAATGCTCTGGTCAAATCTCGTAATTTTTTCTTATCGATCCTGTTCATTGATTTCAGTTGTCATAGTGATAATTATGTGGATTGCACCCACAACTCTAGATTGTTTAGCTACTGTTCACAGCTGAGCGTTGCCTTTTTTCTTCTTACTTTCTCTTGTTTACAGAATTTTATTTATTTAGAACAACTAAATGCTTTTGGTCCGTATCTTCGTTGTCAACGCTGTATGCATATCTTTACTAATTTTGTTTCTTGGTGAAAATATTGGCTTGGGTAAACAAGTACATGGCGTATGTGCTAAGCTAAGCTAATCTAAATCGTGTACTAATCCTGCTAGAAAGAAGGAGAAGAAACCGCGACAATGGCAATACTCCTGGGTAGCCCATTGACCGCCAGACATGGAGTGATTTGTGCGATGTCGGTTCATACGCCAAAATTGTCGCGTGAAAACGCTGCAGGAAAGATATTATGCTTCTGGTATTATGCGCCTAGATAGCAGCGTGAACATCAGGTCAGAAAGGAAAACACTGGCGTGGTTTAAGCAAAGGCAACCAGGTAAAAATTCAAGGATAATTGGTGCATTGGAGCATGCTCATTCCCTACAAATTCACAACTCAAATCATTTCACAGAATCATTCTCGACGTTTTGGCAAATTGCCATCATCAGGATGAAATATGAAGTGAAAGTCTGCCAAGGGACAGTTATAATATTGATTTGGTGCTATAGGTGTTGATGATTTTCCATGACTGTACATGCTCAATGATGCAGACAACCAGACAGCCAGCCAGCCAGACAGCCAGACAGCCAGACTGTTTTATAACTGTACATGTTACGTCTTTGGTAGGAATAATGTCTAAAACTAGTAAAACATCACAAGCGTTCACTCATGTCCTGGGCCATGGGTGTTGGTAATAACACGTAAGTTAGCGCTGCGCAGATGTCACCAGATAACTTGAGAATTGTTTGAACAGGTTTCTCGCTATTAATCTTAAGACACGAATGTGACCGTGTCAGTGCTTTCCAGAAAACGTCGATGGCTGAAACGTCGAAAATGATTCTGTGAAATGAAATGAGTTGTGAACATGGAGTGCCCAGGGAATGAGTATGTATGCTCACCATTTCTCTTTGCGTTACGAAGCTGCAGGATGCCTCAAACCTACTACGTTCACGTAAAATTTGTTGTCAGAAAGTCTGATGTGGTCTCGCAGCATACATGTGCACCAAGAGAGAGAGAGAGCAATGGATTATAGAACAGACGTGCATAGGGCCTAGGATCCTTGCCAGTTTCATGGACTGTTCGGCACATTGTTTCTACGGTGCAGGTGGCTTCTGCAACTGTAAACGGGTGTTCCGGTGCCTTCAGGCGTTGAACAGTCACACGGCAAGACTGGCACATAGTCATTGGGCACAGTCTGATGAAAAGATAGAAATGCTACGTTTCCCGCACTCCGAACGTAACGTACATGTACCTACTACCTACTGTAGTTAGGTCATTAGGACTACTTTAGTGCGTCTACGACTGAGTTTCATGCCATGATGATCATCACACGGTTCGATGGACTTTTCGTGTGCTCTGGATGGCAGTACTGTAGTGAGTGTGTCAGGTGAGCATTGAGGCGGGCAGGAAAAGCACGAGCTGCCACATAGGGAGCAACCCACACTGGTGATCATAAGCCAACAAAATGATATTGCGCGACCGGCTCTCGGATTTCAGCACATCGATCACTTTTTCAGCAAGAGTCGCTTCTATTCCCAGTGCGTACTCAACAATCCGAGATGTAGAATTCTGGCATCGCACAGGGCAGAACAACAGAGACCAAAAATCTGTCTCGTAACTCCGAGTTTCGTGTTTCAAAAAAGAATCATCAGACGAATTCTGGAATCGAATTTACTTCGAAGTACAAACTACCAGCAGCAGCGTAGTACAGCAGTGTTTGGATTGCTGTTCTAGTTGAGCAAGTAGATGATACCTGAACTCTTCGAACTCTTCCCATACTGTTTGAAGTGATTTCTCAGGTCCAACAACAACGCATGTCGAAGAGCACGTGATTCTCATGCAACTGTCAAACCCCGTGCGCTCTGGTCACACCCAGCCCAATTTGGGAGTGCAAGCCCAGATGAAGACATGGACAGACGCGCAATGGACAAAGTCGGCTGACGTCACGGATTCCAGAACTCGTCTGGTTATGACGTACGTGGTAGTTTAGCCGCCTGGGAAAATGGGGAATTCCAAACAGCAGTGAGACAGAATCAGTACTCTAGCTAACGCCGTTTAGTAGGCAGTTACGCAAGACGAAAGAATGCGTTCTGCGGTTTCGAAAATGCTCTACATGTTGACTCCTCGAAGGCAAATGTCAAACCTATTCGGTGTTTTATCCCAAACAATTCAAATTATGACGTCGTGATGCACATGCGTCTATCAAAAACGCATTGCAAAATACTCGTTGATGCCATTCATCGCTGATGAGATCATGCGACGGCTGGTTGGTACAATGGAAAAGTCTCCTGCTGTCTGTTGATGCTCTATCCACACATCCAATCCAGCAGCCAGCGCCAAGGAAAGTTTACATTCAACGTCAAATCGAAAATGCAATAGGATCCAATGTAGCAACTGGAGTTTGCTGGAATGTGTGTTATCATTCTGGAGTCCTAGCAGCAACGACGTAGACATGTTCATGCAACTAAAATCCAACCTCATCTTGGTAACTTGAATCAGTTCTATTTAGCACCTTGAGAAAAGTTCCATTTTGGCTTGGAGTTTTGTTTTTGTGCCCCCTGCCGGCTTCTATACGCCGAAGTGGTGAATTTGACGCAGGCGCCCAGAACATCCGAGACTGTGACTGTTCGCAGTTACCGAAGCTACTTGTACACGTGTACATGTAGTTGTGTTACTTCGACAGCTATAACCTGACTGTCTCATTCAGTTGTTCGTAATCTAGGATGTAAGTGTGGTCGTGTAGGTAATTTACAAGAAGAAGTGAAGACCAAGATAGCCACAGACCATCATGGTGCAAACGCCGGCAAAAACACAAAGAGATGCACATACATGTAGCGCTGGCAGCCGAAGCAGTGGAGGCAATTTGACCTTCGTCTTGAACGAGAAATCATGCATGTCGTGCACATGCACAGGAAATGACCTTCATGATGATTTCGTCTGGATTACAGTAAACTGACCCGTGTTATCAGATTACAGTAAACTCACCAGTGTTATCAAATTCAGACAACTTCTACTCTTATGGTAGTCTTGATCACATTAGTCCAGAGTTTCCGAAAAACATTCCTGCCCCAGTGCCTGCCGTTTTTGTAGCTAATTCCAGAGCCTCTATATCCAGACCATCATTAACACAAACTAGTTGCAACAACCCGTACATGTCCGTCCGTTTTTCATAGCAGAGTAGTCACAGCTGCACATTAGACGTTTCAGGGAAGTCTTGCAGACGTTAGAGTATACAGGCGGTATTTGAATGCGGAGCGGAAACTCGATTGCCGTCTGGTTTCATGTATCTATACGTATACTACTGGATTGTGCACATGGTGATCCCGTCATTACAAGATGTGAACGGTGTGTGTACGCTTGCTACCCTCAAAGGAAGGAACTGCACCACATGTCAGGAAGTGGTCGCTGCCCTAGACCTTTCGGCAACGTATCCACGACGTCACACATGCATGTGCCTGCTCATGGCATTGGAGATCCCAGCGTCATCAGACTCTCAGATTCAGGACAACATTGGGATGTGGTTTGTGACAGGGCCACAACTTGTATTTCTACACATTCCAATAGTGCAGAGAGGATGTTTCCATCAGAGAAACTTGGCTATTAACGTACGTTACTCCCATTTTCACATTGCCTTCCTGGATGAATGTCTGTTGCGCATTAGTCCATGGCGGATAATGCCGGCAAAGAAGATAGTCAAATTTGTTGCTATCCTGCAATTTTTCATGCATGCTGTCATGTGAATAAAGAAATGGAGGTGCCTGACATAATGTTTGTATGGTTCTGCCAATTTCACTGCTGTTCTGGTAGAATCTGTCAATTTTTCGAGCATTATCCGCCAAGGTCCGGTGTGGGCCCAACAGCTATAGCTGAACAAAGCTACGCGCCACATGTACATGTACATGTGAACGTATACATGTACATGTACATGTATACGTTCACATGTACATGTACGTGTTTAAAGAGCAAGACAGCTTCCTTTGCACTCTTGGTACGATGTACATCGCTTGGTGCAACGAGAACTCTCCAAGTGATGGGATTTACATTGAAATGGTCGTATAAGCATAGCACGCAACATCGGACAGGATGTTACATGTATACATGATTCTACATGTACATACATGTATGTACATGACATTGTACATTTGTACGTGTATGAACCGTGAATGTTTTCCAGACATCAGAGATAATTGTTCATGTGAGTGTCTGTACGCTGATGATGGGAAAGTATAAGTTTCTTTCTGGCGTATTGACCAAGGCGTGGACCAACGCAGAATGTTGCATATACATGTATCTAATTGTACCACTTGTAATGTCCGGCAGAAAGTGCGTCTGTGGTTAGAGAAACCCAATCAGGGTGATGCAGTGACCAAACCCAATGTAAAATGCACGCGTTCACACAGTTTTCCTGGCCCGATGACTGGAGCAATTGTGACCCAGACATCAGTTTCGGAAGTACATGTACAAGTGTGTTTTGTAACGCACCATATTCTTCCTGTCCTGCTGTAGCGGCAGGTGGTTAGGTGTCCGACGCACAACCAAGTAGCACCGCCATCAAGCGTCAACGTTTCTGCGACATGTATTCGAATCTAGCCAAACGGGAAGGATGGAAGGAACGACCGCGCAGATGGAGGCGACGTTTTTTTCTGATCATAGGGAGAAAAGCGCCACCACAACGCGTCACAATGAGTGCATCTTGGCCACAAGGGAAGGATGCAGGGAGCCGGTGCAGTGCACGGGTGAAAGAAGAGCACATACAGTACATACATGTACGTACATGTACTTGCTTATTATTATTTATTATTATTATTATTTTGCTTGTTCGCGTTGGCATCAACCTGCATAAAGCAGGTATATAGCCTTCGCTTAAGCTGCCATAAAAAAGAAAGCTCATCCTAAGCGAGAGGGCTAGAGGGAAATATAACGATAACGAGATACAGAATACAAAGAAATCCAATGAGTTCAACGTACAATTCAAAACAAGAAAGAAAGGGAAGAAAAACAGAGCCGAATCTACCGATTGATCCATCAATCGACAAAGGGGACTAATCCGTTAGTGTTGCAAAGTA